TCTGCTTCCTTCCTCCCTGGTCTTTCTTTCTTCTTCATCTTCTCTTGCCAGCTTCCCCGTCCTTCCCATCCTTCCTTCCTTCCTGCTGTTTTTCATGCGTGACACATCTATCTTCCCGTGTTCAACGAACGAGCGCGCAGGCTACAATGCCCTAGGTAATGATTTTTTTTTGTTTCCATCATGGAAGAGGAGGAACGTCCTCATGAGAAGGAGGGAGGCTAGCTACAAGGCTCTATTCCATCCTTTCGTTCGTTCCACGCATGAACGGGAAGATGAGAGAGATAATAATTCAACTTGTGCGTTTTCACCAGAATGGATGGTATGTCGATCTACTTATTGGTAGGTACCTATTTTCCCTTGAATGGCAGCCACCCAGTTCATTGGTCATGCATTCCTCAGTTGTATCATCCCATCCATCCATCCATCCATCCACCAATCGCCCATATTTTTCGTTTATATCTTTTTTCTTTCTTTTTTCTTCCTAGTTACACCCCAACCAGCCAACACCGGAACTCCTCACCATCACTCTGCCTGCTATCATTCTAGCTTTTACCACACGCATTGATAAAAGAGGGAAACGTAGACGAGGCAGCAGATAAAACCAAGCATGACGAAAAAAAAGCAAGATACAATGGCTGCTATTGTATATATATATCCTACAAAACAGTCCTGTCCTCATCATGACTGACTGAATGTCTTTCGTAATTCCTCCTCCTCCGCCTTCGCCTTGCTCATCCTCCAGTCTGTCAGATACCATTCTTGTTGCCATCTTTTGCCTCTCCGGGCGATGAAACCAGCTTTCTTCTTCTTTTCCTTCTTCTCCTTCTCGTTCCCAGTCCTCAATCTTTCTAAGAGACCATGGACTTAACCGTCCTTGTGAATATCTCTCATCGAAGTGGTCATAAGAGTGTCCACTCCACCTCGTTGGAACCTGGAGATACACAAAGTCTCCTTCATCCACCCACTCTTGGGGGTTTTCCATTCAGGCAATTGACCAGCCAGCAAGGCTGTGATCAGACCTCAAGTCTTCTCTTTTGTTCTTCCACCATCCACCGCGGCTCGGCACTTGGCACGCGAGCTGCGAAGCTGCGCATGGGGATAGTCGTACATGACTTGTTCATATCCACTGCTCATCAACGACTTGAGGAGGTATATAGACCTACTCGGTCGGTTGAATGGCTAGTGGGCGTAAATGAAGTTCCCAGTCTTCACTGCATGGTCTTCAAGAACCCGTCAAGGTCGAAGCTTTCCTCGTACTGGGAGTTGTCCCACAGCTCCCCGAGGCCTTCGAGCCAAGCCGCCTTCTTGCCAGGTTGCCTGACATCGCCTGTCTCGATATCTACCATGTCCTCCTCCCTGCCCTCGAGGTTGTCCTTGTTCTTGCCCTCCGTTATGAGGTTTGGTCCGGCATCACCAAGGTTGAACAAGTCGAGAATCTGATCCGTATCCATTGTCGAGAGTCCTGCATTCTGCTGGTTGACGACCGTGCTAGCGACATCGATCTTGAATCGCTGTAGGCTGAGGATCTTCTCCTCGAGTGTTCCGCGGGTGATCAACCGGTAGACATTGACCACCTTCTTCTGACCGATACGATGGGCGCGATCCATGGCCTGCAGATCCTTCTGCGGATTCCAGTCGTGCTCAACAAAGATAACGGTATCTGCGCCAGTCAGGTTGAGACCAAGACCACCGACGCTCGTGGTGAGAAGCAACACATCGTACGACGGGTCACTGTTGAACTTGTTGACAATGTCCTGACGGCGGGTAGGATCGACGGAGCCGTCAAGACGAAGGTGAGACACTGAGGGAAGCATTTTCTTGAGGACGGTGTTCTGAACCATATCCAACATTTCCTTCATTTGGCAGAAAATGAGAGCACGATGAGGCTTGATGGGCGTGTAGAGCGGGTCGGACGATTCTTGGCCTTCGACACCAATGCCGCAGTCGACAAGCAAGTCTCGGAGCGCCGTGAGCTTGGGGGCATGGACTGGATCCTCGAGGCTGGTGTTTCGCTTGGCCAGGAACTTTTGTGTATCGTCGTACTGCTTGTGACCAGGCTTCATGACGAGCGCCGGAGAGTTGCAAAGCTTGCGCATGTACTGCAGTGCCTGGAAAATGTGGGCCTTGGCCTCCTTGTCATCGCGGCCCGCTTCTTCCGTGATCTTCGCCGCCTCCCTCTTGGTGAAGTCCTCGAAAAGCTTGCGCTGGAGGTCGCTGAGATCGCAGTAGTAGTTCTGCAGAATTTTGGGCGGCAAGTCGTTAAGAACCTCCTCCTTGAGACGACGTAGGAGGAACGGCAGGACTTGCTTATGCAGCGCCTCGATAGCTAGAGCACCTGCTTCTTGTTCCTTTGAAGACGCCTTGCTATATCGACTGTTCGCAATGGGCTTTGCGAATCTGTCCAAGAACACCTTTTCTGCACCCAAGAAGCCGGGCATCAGGAAGTCGAACAAAGACCAGAGTTCTAACACATTGTTCTGGATGGGCGTTCCGGTGAGGATCAGACGGTGGTTGCTCGTCAATTGCTTGACAGCAATGGTAATCTTTGCCTTGGGGTTCTTGATCAAATGCCCCTCATCAAGAACCACGTAGTTCCAGCTGTACTTGTTAATGACGTCAATATCATTGCGGCAGACATCATAAGAGGTGATGACGATGTCGGTCTCGTCCAGGACGTCCTTCATAGCCTTACGCTCAGCAGGAGGACCAACATAGGTTGTGACGCTGAGGAACGGAGCGTAGTTCTTGATCTCCTGTTGCCAATGTCCCGAAAGGGTGGGCGGGCAGACGATCAAAGACGGTAGTCGTCTGACATCTGGCGCACCAGTCTTGACAAATTCCTCAGCACGCTGATGGTGGTCACTGGCGACAATGCAAATTGTCTGGAGTGTCTTGCCAAGACCCATGTCGTCGCAGAGAATACCGTGGAGGTGATACTTGTTGAGAAAATGGAGCCAGTTGACGCCCTCCTGCTGGTACGAACGCAGCTCGGCCTTGATGGCGACAGGAATCTGGAACGGCTCAACCTTCTTCGGGTCAAGTAGCTGCTGAATAAACGTTCTCTCGCGGTTTCGTCCACGCAGAAGCTCCTCTGAAAGACCGGGAGGATCTGGAATACCAGCCTCAAGAGGTACGAGCTTGACGAGCGTAGCGAATGATGTCGTCGCAATAAGACGGATGTTGTCGTCGGAATCGCTCATGCGGCCAAGGACAGGCACAATGAGGAATATTACATATGGCAGGATAGCATCGCCCATGACTGCAATCAAGTGGTAGATAATCTCAATGGCACCCTGGCGGAAGTTGAGGTCGACGGGGTTATTGATTGAGGGGAGAACCTTTTCGACAAGAGCAGTCATACCATCAACGGTGATGACGGAGCAAATGGTGGCCATACACTTGGCAGCCATGTACCGGAAGACCGAAAGCTGAGACTGGAGAGCCTTGATGACAAAGGGCACTTGTCTCATGACAAATGAGTGAAGTGCGGTATGGAGTGTTGGTGTCATGGTTCGAATGATGGACAGGGCATCCACAATTTCTTGACCAAACATGCTCGAAGGATCTCTGGCCTCTGCTGGAAGTTCACCTGAAAAGGCTCTGACCAGAGGCTCCTCCATGAAGGCGCGGAGACTAGGGACCCGGCTCAGAAGTTCAGGTCCGTATGTCTGTGACAGCACCTCCAAAGCCTGCTTGGCACCGCGACGAGTAATGTGAGCTCTCTTTGCTTCGATCGCGAATCTGATGGGATCGTCGTGCTCGGCTCGGTCCTCCTCCTTGGACATGGAAAGAATAACGTTCATCTTATGAGCGTGTTGGGGGAACTCAGGTGTCTCAGCAGTTTCCACACATGTGTACTTGACCAAGTTAGCGACAATCTTGTCGCCAGGGCCACGGCGGCCAGACTCAGTAAAGAGTTGTACCAGACGCGCGACGCCAGTAGCGGAGCGACACTGTAGCAGGTGGTTCTCCTCGCCCTTGACGCTATCCATGATAGCCTTGATGAGTGGGCTGGGCTTTTTGGGTAGCACCTGCATGGACACCAAGGCGCATGCAGCAGAAGCACGAATACGAGTGTCACGAGCTTCCTTTGCCGCCTTGGCTTCCTCAATGGCAATGACGACGAGATCGCGAGCCTCATTGAGGTCCTTGACAGCGATCAGCCGCTGACCAGGGGCCATGATCTTCTTGAGCCTCTCGAAATCTTCGTTGACGACCTTCTCAGCGTTGGCAATGGAAAAGGCGCCGGGACCAGCTTCGGGCTCGCCCTGTACCACAACAGCGAGAGTGGGCAACTTGCTCTGCGAAACCTTGCCATGATCACGGCAGAGGTTAAGCAGCTGCTGCGATTGTGATCGTACCCGCTGCACGTAGGTAACCAGGTCTCGGTAGTGGGATGGCCGTTCTTGCTCAATGATTGCGAGCAATGGTTGTACGAAGCGAGCTGACGCCTGACTAGAGGCGCTATTTTTGGCGTACTCGTCAATGATGACGCCGGCAGTAAGCTGAGTTGAAGAGTATGCGGATGAGAGGGCGGGAATAATGCTGGCATCGTAGGCTTCGACGGTTGATGGCGGAACCAAAGCCATGACTAAGCCCATGGCCTTAGCAGCCGAGACGCGAGAACGGATCAGAACATCCATTCCAACGAGGTCGACATCTCCCTGCATCATGTGGCCATCGACATCGTGAGTATGGGAAGTTGGAGGAGGATCATCGACCCTGGTCGATTTTCTCCTCCGTTTGACAGTCCTCTCCGCACCTTCTGGTGGCGATGACCTCCTGTTACCACCAGCAACAACACCCGGCAAAGAATAGGTTCCGCCAGAGGCTTCTGGAACAAGCTTGCATTCATGGGGATGGGGTTTCTGGACACACCGATGGGATGGAGCGTCAGCTGCATGAGCGTGTCCACGTGCGGGCCAAACTCATCAGCGAGTATCGCAGGGTTGTTGTTAGCAAGTGTGCGGACGAGGGCCGCCCAAAGATCGACAGATGCATTCAGCGTTTCCTGGTCCCTCTCAACAAGGATGTTTTGGAAGATTAGACGCAGAATCCTTCCACCAAGCCACCCTTGCGTTGTGTCGCCTCCGAGCTTGACAAATGTCATCAAAGCCTTAAGCACAGCGAGCCGGACAGAGGTAATAGTATGACGAAGGAAGGGATAAAGCCTCGGGACGAGGAGTGTGAATGATCGCTCCTCGTCGTGTGACGCCGAGTGCTTCATGGTTTCCAAGACTTCTGGGAAACTGCAAAGAGTCGCCAGGAGGTCCATGATCTTTCCTGTAGACGCACTGAGATCGTCTCCCAGGTTAGAGAGACTTTCCCAAACAATGTTGATGAGATTGGGTAGGGCATCTGAGCGCATCATAACAAATTCCTTGGCCATAGGTATGAGGGTTGCCGCGCTGACCGAGCGAACATCGTCATCCTGGTTGGCCAATCCTTCCATGACAGCGAGAATAACGCCGTCAATCATGGCAGTATTTTGCAGCAGCAGGTCCTTCCTCACAGCAACGACATATCGAAGGCCGATCATGCCACCGTGGCAGATGGCCCACTCATGGTGGTTAAGCTGAAGATCTCTTTGCATCACCATACGAAACAACAGTTCGTAGATGGCATGGACCGTCACTGAAGGGCAATGACGAAGGACGGATCCAAGTGTCTGGCCGACGGTCTCACGAATAGGCGCCACAGAGGTATCGGAGCTATAATCTGTGAACCTATCAAGCATCAAAACGCAGCACAAGCGGCAGGCGAGGTCATCCAGCCACTTGCGATTGAGTTCGTTGTTCTCCGAACGAGACTTGGCCATCAGTCTTCCTGCGCCAGCGCCATGAACCCTGATCACCTCGCGCAAGCCCATGGCAGCGCCATGACGAGTTTCCCATTGAGGATCAAAGAGGTCGACCTTGAGGAAATCGCAGAGACGTTCGTATGGCCATTCAACACCTTCCAAGTTGTTGTCGGCCTCAATCTCGGACTTGATGGGAATGATGGGCCCCTTGTATTCGCTGACAACCTTAGTGTCCTCTTCAATATCGGCGGGCCTATCGAGGCTGAAATAGTCGTTCATCTTGCCGCCCTTGGAATCGGCGTCCACCATCGGGGTGTCGTCAAAGCCCTCGGAGCCGGCGGTCGTGTTTCGGCGCAAGGAGAGGTCACCGAAGCCGGTCTTGCCCTGAGCAGCCTTCTGGGCCTCCTTCTTCCGCTTTCGCTTGAGAACATTCAGCTGGCGTGCACTAAGCCCGGCCGTCTCACCGTTCTGATTGTTGCCGGAACCGACACTGTCATGACGGCCGAAGCCATTAGCTGCAGCTGGATCGAGAGGGGTCGCAGGGCTGAGGATGGCATCGTTAACGACAGGTATCTCTTCATCCTTAAACTCACGTCCAAGGAGACCCAGACGGCCATTGAGCGTTTTCTTCTGATGGTTCAGCCGACTTTGTGGATCGAGAGCTGCAAGGCCCCAATCATTTTTGTCGCCAATTCTGAGCAACGACCTGCCGTACTTGAGAATGTTGATAACGTCCAGGGTCCTAAGACTGAACTGTTCCTCCTCGCTAAGAGACAGTTTTGGCCCCTCTTCTTTCTTGATGAAGCCATTGCTGTCCTCATCTTTTATCGCCGTATCGGGCTCCTCGTCGGCATTGGGGTCATATTGCGGTGCATTCTCGATGATTTTGCCTATAGCTTTGGCAGCAGTTGATCTGGTTTCCCAGTCTTTGTGGCGCAGGTAGGGGACAACCCGAGAGAGCAGGTTGAAAAGCTCATCAGGATGTTCCTTTTGCCATGTGGCGAGCTGGTCTACAGCAGCATCCCGGATCAGGCGAGTACTGCCCGTCTCAATGAGCCTTTACGTAAGGCTGGTTAGCCAAGTGTCGAGAAAAACATGAACCTCCAAGAGGGCAGGGTACTTACGTGACAAGGCGATCTAGCCGTGACGCCATCTCTTGTTCATGTCAGTAGACTGTGTTTATGTGGTTAATAGGGGGTTATTGCCATGGCACTGCAACAAAGTCAGTCTTGTACCCTTCAAGCTTTGTCTGATGCATGGAATGGGAGAGGAACAACAACAAAACAAGAGACGCTGACGAGGTGAAACCCCTGCCAAGACCCGGAATGTTATGTCTGAGGGTTAGGGGAGATACAGTCCACATTCACGTCTCCAACCTCGATGACGAGCAACCTCAAAACAGACAACATCCAAACAGCCAAGTGTGACAGCAAGGTCCATAGAACACTAACTCTGAAGCAAGGGAAAGGCTTGGACAGGAAGGGCAAAGAAGGGATAAGTAGTGAGGTTAGGATGATGGGTATGTGAACATACCTTGGGAATATCCACAGTTATGGCAAGGCTGTAGTCCCAAATGCACAACACAAGATCCACTGTAGACTGTGATGGTGGCGGCTGTTGTTGTGGGATTGCGGGAAGTAAAGAATATTTCTATGAGAAGGTCTAGAAATATCAGCTTTTAGCCATTTGGGTCACATTGTTGGATTTGATCCCATAGTTGACGCATTGTGTGTGGTGGTCCATGGTCATCGTGAAAGAAGCAAACAGAGTGACAGGATGGGCAGTATGAGAAAGTGCAAAGAAGGGAGTCGGTTGGCATGACCCAAGCCAGATGATGTGTTCCAGGGGGGGCTAGCAATAACAACAGTACTTGTTGCAAGAAATCAAACATTTGTAGACAGATGAAAGTGGTGGGGGTGGTGGTGTTGATGAGATGACATTGTGGGATGAAAATGGAAAGTATCAAACTCAAGACTCACCGTCCGAAGGGCTCAAGGTGAGCAAGGTGTGGTGTGGTGTCCCCGTTCTGCCAAAAGTCTCTGTATGCAAGCCACCAAGGTCGCCGGTACCTTGCGCTAAGCAAACACACACAAAATCACACACGGTGCAACGGTGACAGCAGCGGCAGGCCAAAGATGGTCCGTGTGGTGCGTGTGGTGGTCCGTGGATATTTTGGCGGGGGAGTATCGAAATAATATGGAGGGGTCTGGACCAGGCGGTCAACTCCCGGTCTTGTCGCGCCTTGAAATAGTAGCCAAGTAGCCAAGTATCGGAAGGTGGTGACGTTGAGGCAGGGCAGGTTATGGCAATTTGCGTTTCTGAAATGTGCTTCTGCCTTGTGTTACTGTGTCGCCCGGACTGGTGGTTGGTTGGTCGGAGAAGGTGAGGTCGGGTCGTGCACGCGCGCAGCAGGGCGCAGGTTGTAGTAGGGCGTAGCGAGCAACAAGTGCGCGGATGGGCGATGGCGGGCAGTGGGAGGTTCGGGTGGAGGGCAGCGGCCTGTCTATAAAGAATATTGGTTAGTAAATTTATAGACAAGCCGGCACTTCCCAACGTTCCTCCCTTCTCAAATTTTAGCGCGATCCATCCACCCCTGCCATCCATGCGCCTCCCCCAATTGCACCCCATTGCCCCCAGTCAAGTGCGGCCCACGATTGGCTGCCCGCCCTCACGCCCCAGTCGGTTTCTCCAGTCAAGAAGGAAGGAGTGCTTTTGCTTTGAGCTTCATCAGATTGAGAGCTTTGCCCTGTGGCCCTTTGGTGGTGCACGGTTGACGGTTTTTGTCTCTGGAGACGACATGCCATTCTTTTTCCCTTTTCCCTTTCCTTTGTTGTACGTTTGCCCAGTCCATTCTTTAAACATGGGATTCTATCGATGGCGCTTCCTTCAGGTGTGTACCTGTTGCCAGACCAACTCACTGGGTGGACTTGGAGGAGTCGAGTCGAGTCGGATGACGGAGGTGCGTGCTTGCCAGTGCTTGCCTGTTCCGCCCGCCTGCCCGCCTGCCTGCCTGCCTGCCTGCCTGCCTTAACCCTTCGGGACAAAGCCCAGTGCGACCCGATGACGAATAGCCGGCAGAAAGGCTGCGCTGCAAAACATTGGACAGGAGAGGGTCGTCTGGCTGAATGATCACTCTGCCATCACGGTCCGAAGACTCGGTCGGTCGGATACCGCAAGTCCTGCACTTTGGCAATCGGGAGTAGTCCGGGTCACGACCTCATCCGTTTCCAGACCCGGGCACCGATATAAGGTAACGACTACCGATAACCGTCTGTGTGAACCTCATTTCTCCCGAAGTAGCTGGCTCTCTTCCCATCGAGTATAAGCAACGGAGTGGTGCTAAGCTTCTTGCTTTCCCCGCGCATTCGGGACTGGGCTCGTCTCGGTCTCGGCTTGATCAGCTGCAGGGCAACCTAGTCGTATAAATATATAAACCCAGGCCCCCGGGTCGGCTCGACCCGCCACATTGCAGTTTCCTACTGTCCTCCTGCTTTTAGGGCCACGATGGCAAATGTGATGCCCTCAAATCTGGACGGTCACATTTCGTGGAAGAGCCATGATACAAGCCGATATTTATATCCCCCCACATCAAGCTAACGGCGGCCCACAACCTCATTGTTGATGATGGAAAACGTTTGTCTACCTAGCCGTCAAGGCGCGGCGCGAAACGAAAACGAAACCAGGATGCGGTACACGGTAGTGCAGCATAAGCAAGCTGGCGACGTACCCCATGGCCCACCAATCTGTCAAAACCGTGTGCCTGATCCATATCAAAGATAGCCATCGTCGTTCGGCTTCGTACTGTGAGAATCCTCGAACCAGGAAAGCCAATGATTGGGGATATCTCGGTACGTAACGATGCCCTTGTTGGTGCCTGTCTCGCCAGTCATGCATTCGATTCGGATGGTACCGCTGTCGCGTCGCCGCCGTCCTGTGACCACCGCCAAGGGACACTGGAAGCAACCTCAAAATGCAGAGCGGTAAGGAAGGGCACTCCAAACGGCTGCCAGAGTTGTAACAAAGGGCTGTTTGGCGAGAATCTTAATAAACGCCGATATCTGGCCAGCCTCCAGCCTTGGATGTGTCCGAAAAGAGGTTCAAGTCAGACATTTAGTTCCAGGTTTACACATCAGTCCTGGTAAGTTCGCTAGCGTGAGACTTCACAACGTACTCTTCGCGACTCAGCCAAAATTCCACTACTTTTCGTGCAATAAGTTGGTATCAACCTGATGCGTTTTTCCCGTTTCATACAATCTATCCAATTTTCCGCTTTAAATCTGGTTATTCTCTTGTCTTGATGTTAAGTTTCGCAGACCCCGGCCGTACGAACCGCGCTAACAAACTTTTAAGGACTGATGTGTATACGCGTGCATTAGTCGGACGGCACAACTGGAAGTGTGTAATCACCGACAACCTCCACGCGGGATCTGCGACATAGGAACCATTTGTTTAAAACAATAACGATCTGCTCCCTTTTCCCATCTCGCGCTTCTGGAGTACACAGAACCAGAGAGTTCTCGACACATAACGGACAACCAACTTTATCGAGAAAAAGGAACATCAAGAGCGATTACTATGAGGTCTTTGTGAGGTTGCCGCACCGCAGGGACAGTGGGGCAAGCTAAAAACAATTAGGTTTCCGTCAAGTGGGGCATGGGAACGTCCACTGATCATTTCAAAGTCTGGGGTTTCCTTGCTGCTCCCCATTCGGGCACCATTTTCGGTCCCAAGCGAGCCCACAGAGAGAGTTGAAAGCCTCGAACAGATTTTTCGTCATTCCTCTCCTTTGCTTCATCATCCACTTCCTGTTCTCGCCGTCGTTGAAACCTTGGGACCCCAACTTCAAAACAAGACGTTGGGTCGTCTCCATTTACGAAAATGACGATTGGCTGTTCCAAGAGTGGAGGAGTTGAAAACGGACACTTGGTCGGAATATGTCGTAGTAGTAATCCATTATTTCAGTCATTCTCCTATTTTTTTATGACACGGAATATTTCCGTAATTACTGACCTGACCGGGTTTGTGCACTAGTCTGAACTTTCGACTTCCACTTACATAAAGTGGTTAAACAACCCAACCTTATTGTACAAACTCGCTAATCTTATAGTTCGTATATTTATTCCAATACATATTTGTACAAAGTCACTTTAATAGATCTCTAGTTAGGATCTTAAATGGTATAAAATATTATGAAAGTTATATAACAATCTAGCAAAATTAAATTTTCATTATCTTACTTATTAGTAATAATATTGTTTGCTGCAATGCACTACCTAGCTTATAATAATAACACTAGTATAGAAATACTACAGTAAACTATGCACTTGTAGCAGAGCAGAGCGGAAGCGGTAGGAAGTATGATACCAATACTAAAGAAAGCAGCGTAGTAACTGTCACAGCGTAACCAAAAGGCACGTTGTATATGATTTGATTAACTTGGACTAAGAATAAGAAATTGAAGAGGAAAGAAATCACAAAAGGAAAAGCTTGATGTCAGAGCTAGATTTTATACCTAGACCATAGGCGACAACCAGTGACAGCTAAACTCGTGAATAGGATGACCCAAATGAACAGCACCCATATGAATGGAAGCCTTGATAGCAGGCATGTGACAGCTCAGATGGTGCCAGCCGTCATAGTAGTAAAGACAATAAAGAGATGTTGTAAAAGAGATCTTAGAAAGAACTCTACTCTCAAGACTGAAGAGTACAGTAGACTATATACTGTGAGAAACAACTATTATAGTGAACTCTCTACTATAGGAGTAGACTGTATTATATTACTTAGATTGTGCTTGCTTGCTTAAGAAGTGACTAACTAAAGAAGAGAAAAGGTCTTTATATACACGAACGTTAAGTATCTAGAAGCTTCCAGAGTGTAGAAGCTTCTATAAGTTGATAGGAGTGCCTGTAGAAGCACTATATTATGAAAGGAATATACTAGATCTATAAGCTTCTAGTGCATTCTATGATGACAAATTAGTCTAGAAGAAATGCTGAACAAGTTAGAAAATCTCAGAATACAGTAGCAAAACTTCTGTATTCTAGCACGTTTTGTAAGGGCTGAGTTGACTGATTCTATAAAAGGAATAGTTTAATTAGCCTTTTATACTACAAGGTAGTACAAGGCAGTTACAAAGCACGGTACTAGCTACATGTTAACAAAACAATTCAAAAATATATTAAAAATAATTCAAAGATATATGTATGTAGTAATGAAATATTAAACGTAATTATTTATTCATTGTTATTAGTAGCACTTAAATTATGAAAATATTCAAAAAAACGCAAATTTAAATACATTATTTCTCCATAAAGAAGCTCGAGTAAGTAATTAATTAACTTTTCATAGAAAAATTCAAGTAAATAATTATTTATTCCTTTATAAAAAAGCTTGAGTGAGCAATTTATTATTTCTTTATAGAAAAAAGAAATGTAAGTTAAGGAGCGTAGATCAAATGAGAATTGTTTTACAGTGTAGGGCTTGTTTTAGCGTATTCACTTGGGTAAGCAAGCTTATGTAAAGAGGTTGGGTCATGTGAACACTCACTTACGTAGACAGCTTCAACAACTGATTGATACAAGCACAAAGCTGACACCAGCCGCCCATTCAAGAGCATTTTAGTACTTTCTTACTTTCCCGTTGCTCTAAGAGAAGCCCTAGGCCACTCGGAGGTAAGATTTCGAAGACTTTGCTGCTCTGAGAACAATATCAAGGAACTGTGCTGTCAGAATCGCTGTCAGGCTCACCATTTTTTCAATTCACTGACGGTAATTACTGTCACTGACCCTGACACATTCTGACGAATGGATCACTATGTCGTAGAGAAATACAACAAATAAACCCTTCGTTGGAGGAGCAACCCAGGTCCCAGATACTATGGAACTGCGATATGTCCTTGGTTCTTTATCTCCACGATACAAGTGGCAATGCGCCTTGTGTTGAGAACCATCTACACTTTAAACACTCGTTGCTCACACTGTTTGGTATCCTTTTGAGATACATGTTTTTGTAGTGTTGTGACTGCTTCAACATCATCATCACAAGCCAACGGATATCAAGAACCCACATGAAATCTGAAAGGATGGCCGAGACATTGCATCAAATCAACCGCCGCGCTAGGGGCTCTGACGGATGCAGCTACTGCCACGCGTCTGTCAAGACACTGGCAACCTGGGAGCTGAAATATCCCGTTGCTCATCAGTCCCAGACGTTTCACTTTTGGTCTATGTACAGCTTATTTCAAAAGCCCATCTCACAAGTCATCAGAGAGCAATGGAGACTTTGAATCTTGAAAGAGCTTCCTTCCCATGTTTCGTCAAGTCACCGAATCCACCAAGCTGCGGATCCCAGTCTTCTGATTGGTCAGATATGTGATAAGTCTAGGCGCTTTGCTCTACCCTCATAGTCACGATGGCTCGAGCGCCTTGGAGAGCTCACTCGCTGCGACTCTGGCCCTGCCGTCCGCTGTGCTGCCTACGTGCAAGAGAAATCCCCTGCAAGAGGGGAGAGCGCGCGACAGGGGAACCGGCGAGAACGCGTGAAAGTGAATTGGAGGTTCAAGTGCAACTGAAGAAAGAACAACGGAAGTTCTTCGGTATCGTCACCCGCCAGCCCGGCCAACACGCCCCTCTTCCTTCCCAGAAACTTCGCGCTCGCGTGTGTACCGTCCAAATCCGAAATCGATCACAATATTCCTCCCCATATCTCGACCACTGAAAGGGTACAACTGAACTCCGTCATCCTTCAACCACGACGCCCCTTCCGCGCCCACCCCGCGACCGATGGATGCGAACCAAACGATGCAAACAGAGACGATCCGATTCCCACAACTCTATACCTCCGACCTCTCGACCTGAACTGTTGTACCCTTGTTGCGCCGAGTGGTGCGCGCGGCTTTCTGTCACTAGTCCAACAACAGCTTATTGTGGTATTCCCATTGGTCTATACCTACTTCATCCCACTTCCACATTTCTTTCAACAACAAAGTAGCTGCCGCCGCGCTGTCGTCCAGCTGACGACGGCAAATTCGCAACCATGCATATCAAACAGATCATTATCCAGGGCTTCAAAAGGTGCGTCGCATGCTTGTCTATGTTGTCTCCATCTGTATTGCGCGTCTGGCAAATACCAGCCTATCGCTTTGGGTGTGGCGCGCGCCTGGCGCGTTGAAAGCAGGTTGAATCTGGTGCTGACTTCTGACACTCCCTCGCCAGCTACAAGGAGCAAACCGTAATAGAACCCTTCTCCGCCGGTACCAATGTTATTGTTGGTCGCAACGGTTCAGGCAAGAGTAACTTCTTCGCCGCCATCCGATTCGTCCTCAGCGATGCCTACACCAACATGAGCCGCGAAGAACGCCAGGCCCTTCTCCACGAGGGTTCCGGCTCGGCTGTCATGTCAGCATACGTCGAGATCATCTTCGACAACACCGATAAACGTTTCAGCGAACCCGGCGACGAGGTCGTGATCAGGAGGACAATCGGCTTGAAGAAGGACGAATACTCGGTCGACAAGAAGGTGCAGACCCGTGCCGACGTCCTCAAGATTCTGGAGACGGCCGGTTTCGCCAAGGAGAACCCCTTCTACATCGTGCCCCAAGGTCGTGTTGCCGCCATCACCAACATGAAGGAAAACGAAAGACTTAACCTGCTCAAGGAAATTGCCGGTACCAACCTCTATGACGACAGGCGCATACAATCGCTGAAGATCATGGCCGAGACCAATAACAAGCGCGAGAAGATCGACGAATTGCTCGAGTACATCAAGGAGCGTCTTAGCGAGCTGGAGGAGGAGAAGGACGAACTCCGCGACTTCCAAGAAAAGGACCGCGAACGCAGGTGTCTCGAGTACGCCCACTGGCACCGCCTACAGGAGACCAACAACAACACTCTGGAGCAGATCGAAGAGGTGAGACAGGGAGGTGCTGGCGCAACGACCAAGGACCGTGGCCAGCTCCAGAAAACGGAAAAGGAAATCGCCGCCCTAGATCACAAGTTCCAGGAGTTGAAGCAGACCCTTGAACTCCTGGCCATCGAACGGCGCCAGCTGGATGAGGACAGGAAAGACACGGCGCGGTCGCAGGCAAAGGCCGAGATGAAGCTAAAACACCTGGACGAGACACGACATTCGCGCGAGAAAGCCCAGCAGCAACAGGAAGCAGAGCTGAACGAGGTCAGGCGAAGGATCCAGGCGGCCGAGTCCGAGATTGCCAAGATCACACCAGACTATGAGAAGTGGAAGAAGGAGGAGGAAGAAGTTGCGGCCGAGAGGGATCTGGCGCACGCTGGTCGTACCAGGTTGCTGACGAAGCAGACGAGAAGTTCCCAGTTCAGGACAAAGGCCGAGCGCGATGCTTTCCTGAAGAGCGAAATTGAGGAGACAACCATGCAGCTTGCGAACCAGCGGGCCAACGAAATGGATGCGAAGGAGCAGGTGACGCTTGTCGAGAACTCTATCAAGCAACTCGAGAACGAGATCCAGAACATCCGCGACAGACTTGAAGGATTCGGTGAAGACCGGTCATCAATCTCCGAGAAGCTGACCAAGGCTCAGGAGGCCAGGGAACAGTTGTACGAGGAGCGAAAGAGACTGCGTCGCGAGGAGGACAAGCTCGGTTCTTTGCTTGCAAACACCCGTGCGGATAGGGACAAGGCGGAGGCGGACCTCTCACATGCCATGGATTCCGCTACAGCAAGGGGTCTGGCAGCGATCAGACGCCTCAAGAGAGAGCGGGACATCCCCGGTGCCTATGGTACGCTGGCAGAGCTTATGAACGTGCCAGTAGACGCCTACAGATTGCCGGTCGAGCAGGTGGCTGGTAACAGCCTGTTCCATTATGTCGTCGACAATGAGAAAACCGGCACCATACTCTCTGAGTACCTCCACAAGAACTATGGCGGTCGTGTCACATTCATGCCTCTTGAACAACTACGACCCAGGCAAGTCAAGATGCCAAGGGCCTCGGACGCCCAACCACTTATCAGCAAAATCGAGTTCGATCCGATATACGAGAAGGCATTCCAGCAGGTCTTTGGGCGCACTATTGTCTGCCCTAATCTGACGGTGGCCGGTCAGTATGCGCGCACACACGGTGTAGATGCCATCACCCCCGAAGGTGACACAACCAACAAGCGGGGTGCTATGACCGGTGGCTATGTCGATGCTCGCCGATCACGGTTGGAAGCGGTACGGAGACTCGAAGAGCTTCGGGAACTTTACGAACAACAGCTGGAAGACTTGGACAAGATCAAGAAGGAAGATGAGGCTCTAGAGCAGAAGATCACGAGCGCTAACGGCGAGGAACGCAAGCTCGACCAACAAATACGCCAGTTCGAGTCGGGCTTCGAGCCCCTGAAGGCCGACTTGCGGACCAAGTCGCTTCAGCTGGATCGCGAACGGCGACATCTTGAGGACGCCAAGAAGCGCTGGGCCGCGATCGAGAAGAACCTGAAGGAGTTCGACGAGAACCTCACAGCGTACCGGGCCGAAATGGATTCCGAGTTCAAGAAGGCGCTATCAGCCGCTGAGGAGCGCCAGCTCGAAGAGTTCGCTGCAGAAGAGCATCGTCTGCAGATGCAGCTGAAGGACATTAGCAGGAAGCGTCTGGAGCTGGAAGGCCGCAAGAAGTCGCTAGAGACGGAACTTCGTGCGCATCTCAGGCCGCAGGAGGATCAGCTGCGCAGCCAGGCGTTTGAGAACTCGGCGACCGGAGGAAGCGGGAGCTTTAAGGACGCTCAGAAGGAACTCGAGAAGCTTAAGAAGGCTGCTGCTGAGGTCGACAGGCAACTGCAGGAGAACGAGGAGAAGACGGAGGGTATCGCGGCCGAGATTGCCGAGCTAGAGGCCCACAAGGCGCAAAAGGAGCAGGAACAACAGGAGCTCCAGAAGCGGATCGATCAGTATCAGAAAAAGTTGGAGAAGAACTCGCAGACCAAGGCTCGTCTCCTGCAACAGGCGGCTGAGTATGCCAAGAACATCCGTGATCTCGGTATTCTGCCTGAGGAAGCCTTTGGCAAGTATGAGAAGATGAAGTCTGAGCAGGCAAGTTCACCCATCCCTTTTTGGCCACATTTTCCAGATCAGCATACTAACCAAGCAAAAACAGATCGAGACAAGACTTCGCAAAGTCAACGAGGCTCTCAAGAAGTACAAACACATCAACAAGAAAGCCTTTGACCAATACAACAACTTCACCACGCAGCGCGAGCAGCTCCTGAAGCGCAGGAAGGAGCTCGACACCTCGCAAAAGTCCATCGAGGAACTCATCCAGCATCTCGACCACGCCAAGGATGAGGCCATCGAGCGAACGTTCAAGCAGGTCTCCCGCGAGTTCTCCACCATATTCGAGAAGCTCGTACCCGCCGGCCACGGCCGTCTGGTCATCCAGCGCAAGGCTGCCGGCAGCAAGAACCGCAACGCAGAGGACTCGGACGAGGATGCCTCGGGAGGAGCTAAGGGCGTTGAGTCCTACAGCGGTGTGGGCATCAGCGTCAGCTTCAACTCCAAGGTCATGGATGAGCAGCAAAAGATTCAGCAGCTCAGTGGTGGACAGAAGAGTATGTTCTTCCTATTTTCTTTCCCTCTCTTCCATCAATCAATTAACCCAGCTAACCATTTTTGCATCAAAAACAGGTCTCTGCGCCCTCTGCCTAATCTTCGCCCTCCAAGCCGCCGAGTCGTCCCCCTTTGTCATCTTCGACGAGGTCGACGCCAACCTGGACGCCCAGTACCGCACCGCCGTCGCCGCCCTTTTGGACTCCATCTCCAAGACCCAGAAGACCCAGTTCATCTGCACCACCTTCCGGCCCGAGATCGTCCTGGTCGCCGATAAGTGCTACGGCGTCACGTTCCATAATAAGACGAGCACCATTGATTGCGTCCCCACTGAGGAGGCGCTGAATTTCGTGGAGGGGCAGGTTAGTGGTGGGAAGTAAAAGGTGTAAGGGGCGAGTGTAAGTGGGAGGGAGGTTAGTTCAGGTGGGAAATGGGACATGTGTGGATGGAGATTATGAAGAGGGGTAGGGGTGCAAAGAGTGAGAGAAGGAGTAGGAGGAATAGGCGAGAAGAGGGTGGTAGGTAGTAAGGCTGGCTGTATATGGTTATCTTTTTCCTCAAGTATGGGTGTTCAAGTTTTTGTCCCAATCTGGGTTTGATGTGTATCTTTATCATTGAAAAGGGTGGCTTTGGTTCTCAGCTTGATGTTACTTCTTCTGCTGTTCGCGTCTCGAAGCAGAGTGTTTTCCAAGTTCGTTCGTGCGAGCGAAAAGTGCACCGTTGGAAGCCATGAAATGCGCATTTCAGAGTGAATCTGTTAGATGATGCCCAAGTATATCCATAGCTACTCTCGCCGTCAGGGCTCGAAACGCCTCCGACCATTCATATGGTTGATAATACCTAAGGTAGTTTATGAATAGTCTGCAGCCGCTTCGAGACCAAACCAGTACCGGCCGGTGTAGATGCGTGATCGATTAGAGACCTCCCCCACCCGAGTCTTGCCTCCCAATTCCTTCCTTCCTTCCTTCCGCATCATACGTGTCCGAGAGGTAAGTTCCCCCATGGGGCAACAACATGGCCGAGAATTAAAACTCCTCACCAATTTTTCGATGCGTCTCTAAGCTTCAATAGTCCTCATATTTCCGATATGGGGGCATTTGCCCTCCCTATCTATCTATCTACCTTTTCCTGATATATACTCTGATTATAACGTAACCGATTCACACTCCACCGCATCCCAACTGCACTTCCTTACTCTGATCAGAGTAAAGCGCGAGCATAGAACTCCCTTAACAAAGCGCGTGGTCACCGGGTTTCTGTGTCTTCGTCCTCGTTACCTACCTATCCATCATGCCAAGCCTCTGCGGACCCCTGCTAAAAACTGAAGACATCGTACAACTTAACCTACACCTATCCTATCCTATCCTATCCACCATGATTCTAATCCTAGCCCTAGTTCAAATCACTCCTCCTCACTACACTCACCCTCCTCGCTAGTAATTTCCCCAAACTCCCCTGCCCACATATCGACAATGCCTTGTTCCGCCCCCTTTCCACTTCCTTCTGTGGCCGCAACGGGATCCACAGCTTTGCCCTTTCCTTTTTCCGCTCTTGTTGGCCTTCGACGCCTCTTTTTCTTCTCTGTCTCAGTCTTGACTGTCACTATTGGCCGGACGTTGTTATAATGTTTCCATTGCTCTTGGGTGGTGGCGGGGGTATTGTTAGGGGCGGCGGCGGTCTTGGGACTGGTGGTAATTACTTTCACCTTTGCCGTCCTACCCGTTCCCGTTCTTGTTTCAGCCCGCACGTCGTTTCCATTACCGGCGCCGGCGGCGGCGGGTGAAGACGAGCCCGAGCCTGTAGCGGTACCGTACGCTTTTTTTTGCCCTACTGAACTCCCCGAACAACCCTTCGGCATCTTCACCTCCAACCCTCCCAAATCCTTCGGCCCTTTCAGCTCCAGCTTCTGAACCCAAACCTCGATTCTTCTGAACCGCCACTTGAACAGTTGCGTCGTGTCAGGCTCCCACTCCAGAGTTATTGGTCTCTGATCCAATCCACGATCATCCACCCAGGCTTCTCTCTCTTTCCTCTCCCTTTCAGTCTCACCATCATCATCCTCGCTTTCCTCGCCATTCTCCTCATCACAATCAACCCCCTTCGTGGCTTCCTTGAACAACCGCTCCGCCTCGGGCAAAAGCTCCTTTTGCCAGTATGAAACGTCTTCGATCCTTGCCCTTTCTGGCCTTGTTAGCTGCTTGAAAACTTCCAGTACTTCGAGGTTGGCGTTGCGGAGTTTGGTGAAGGTGCCGTGATTCATGGTTTTGGGGCGCAGGAGGACGGGGGAGGGGAGACGAGTGGGAGGGAGGGGGATGTTATTGGGAAGGCTTCTTCCGGTGCTGGAGCATGATTCTGAATCGGATTCTGACGAGGAGGAATAGATTGTTGAGGGGGAAGGCGGTGAGTAGAGGGTACATGGTAAGGGGGCTGTGGGTGGTCGTGCATTCGGGTTGATGGGTTGTGATGGCAATTGCTGGGCTGTATTACGGGCTGTCAGTGTGTCTGGCTGCGGATAGACAGTTGGTTCGGTTTGAGACTTTGGCTCTGGCTGAGTATCTGAGTGTCGCTCAATACTCTTGTGCGTCGAAATTGTAGGTTGCAGCGTCTGTTGCGCCTGTTGGTATGGCAGTAGTGTGCGTGTGCTTTGGTCTTGCCCATCGCTCGTAATCTCATGCTGCGTATGGAGTTCGAGCTCAGTTCGCGTTTGTGTTTGGCGACCTTCTGTCAGAGAGTCGTCAGTGTTCGTTTGGACCCCTGAATCCGTCAAGCTCTCGCCGATGGCGTCGACCCTTTCTGTTGCCGTAACACCGGACTGCTTGCTGCTCTCCGACCCCCCGTGCATTTCCGCGTCCATAACCCCTTCTTTGAACTGCCCATCAACATCCTGATCTCCAAATAGATCCTCCTCCTCTTCTCCATCATCTTCATCATCACCCTCATTCCCTCATCCACATTCTCAACCATTCCACCTTTCAATCCCACTCCCACTCCTACACCTAAATCCAACACCACCTGCTGCTCATGAGGCTCCTCCTCCTCCTCATTTAGATAATACCTCACAGACCAAACATCCCACCTCCTCTTCGTATACATCCCCATACCTCCCTCATCTAGGAATAATTCCCTTTTCTCTATAGTCTCCCACTAGGGTCTCCTCCTCATGCACATAATACTGCTGAGCCTCATCATCCTCGTAAATGATCATTCCCTTGAAAAGATTGTTGCTCGCAAATCGTTGATCCACGGTTTGAAAGGGGGTGTCTTCCTTGAGTAGTTTCAGAAACCGTTGTCGGCAGATTTCGTTGGCCTCTTCTTTGGAGATGTACACCTTCGATGGGTAGTGGCGGACGGACTTGGACTCAGAGATTGGGTGTTTTCTGGTTTGTTTGATCACGTATTGTAGGATGATCTCAGTTGGGGGGAAGAGGGATTGCGCGGGAAGAGGGATTGCGCGGGAAGAGGGATTTTGGGAGGAGATGAAGGAGCAGCAATGGCGAGAGCAGGAATCGGATCTGGAGCTGAAGGAGCAGCCGGGAGGTGAAGAGGGGGTGATGGCCTTATAGGCAGGGTTGCTGGGCGAGCGGCGATGTTGGTTCTCGGTACCGGTGGGTGAACTGGTCCCCTATCTTCATGTGGTACTTGTTGGATATCATTAGTGGCGCTCGGAGCCGTGAACCTGTAGCCTGTTCGCTCTTCGCCGATGGGGAGCCTATTGACGAATCTTGCCGTTTTCTTTGGTGGTTGTTTCGACTTTAAACTTTGATAAAGATCTTCATCTGTTTCCGTATAACGCGGTTGTGAATGCTTCTCTTCTGGGAGAGACGGCTGCGTTCCCTGGGCATTCCGATGGGTTGCTGGTTGGGTTGATGCCGAATTTTGGTCGCCTCGCGTGCCTCGTGTATCTTTGGTCGGTTGGCTCCTCGGAGGACCGATGGTGTTTGTTGGATTACTTGCAGCCTTGCCAACCAATTTGTCGAGTCGCTTTGATTTGCTGGCTGCCTGAAGCGGCAACGGTGTCTGTTGGATTGCTTGCAGTCCTATCGCCGAACAGGCTTGCTATAGATGCCTTGGCAAAATCTCGGAGAACCTCCTCTTCTGTCGGTTTTGATGTTGTTGCGTCCTTAGCTTGTCCTTTGATTTGGTGGAGTTCTTTCGCCTCCTTAACACTTGCTGTGGCTGGCGTGTTGCTGATAGACTTGGCAACCTCCTTTGACTTTTCCTTATCCAGGTTGCTACCAAGCCTTGTAAAAGAACCGAAGTTGTTGCCCAGAGGTTTCAAAGGGGCTCTATGCCGGGAATGAGAGGAGCTGGTCTTTTGTCCGAGGCGCTTACGCTGATCCCTCGAAAGAATATGGCTATAAGATCCGGACTGATGTCGGCCAATGCTCAACTTCCGTCTCTTTACACTTTCGATAATTCCGCTACGGCTGGAAGTCTCAATATCGGACGACTAGGGGTCGTTTCGAAGACCCAGCCCCAAAGATGCTTGGAGTTTCTCTGCTGTGGCGTACAATATGAGTACTGTTGCGGTTTGTGGAAATGGCGGTTTGTGAGGTTGAGAAGTTGACGACGCCTTCGACTCCGTTGACCTCTTCCTGATTCGATCGATGGGCGTCTGGCCTAAATATGCCGCTGCAACTGTTGTTCTCGGTATCTGGAGGCGCGCGCTTGTCGCCTTTGGTCGACGATGTAGGAAAAGCCGCCAGGGATGGCTTACTAGCATGGCTGTTGTCTGCGTTCCCTTTGGAGACTTTTGCACGAGCTGCAAACCTTCCCCCAAACGGCTCTTCATCCTCTGCCTTTTCTGTTTTTGGGATTTGTTGGACAGGAGTCTGCCGTCGGCGGACTTGGATGTCCGTAATGAAACAGTCATCTTCTGAGCTACACTCGTTGTCCGGTTTGGTACTTTTCGGGGATGTCGATGATGCGCATGTGGCTGTTTTAGGGAAGGTTGTTAGCTGTCTCGGTCGACATAACGTTAAATGGAATCGAATACACACCGTGGCTCTGACCGGATGTTGAGCTTTTTGGACTGCTTGTTGCTGGTTCTGGATCGGAAGCCGGGTTGGATGTCGGCAACGACGTAAATAAAGCTTTGGCTCTTGATCCAAATATTGAGTTCATCGCGGCCGTGGTGTAGAACTTCGAGCACCATCTTGATCTGTATCCTGTGTCTGAAGATTAAAGTCGCTCCGACGTGACCCTCGTAATCCCTGACTGACTAATATATAACGGCACACTGAGTGTAGGAGAACACTGGTCGAGAGAAGTGGTTGAAAGGTAAGAAACGAAATGTGTTGACGTCTTGTCGAAGTTAACAATGTGTTGAAACAGCGGCGACAAACACTTCCCTAGTCCGTAGACACTAGACTAGGAACGCAAGACAAGGTTGCGTTGGGGGAAGAGAATTGTGGGAGTCGGAATAATCAATCGAGGTATACATATATACTGGATGCGGAGTGTAGACTTGGGTGTCCTGTATGGTCTTGCGGGGACAGCGAAGGACGGTTTAATATAAAGATAATAGAAGGGAGTCGATGGAAGTGTGTCATGGAGGAGAGTAGGAGGACGACGAAGCAAAAGGAAAGATCAAACTGTGATATTGCTTGGATCAATGATTCCACGTTCCGCAAGAGTGAGATTTCGAGGAAGAAATCATGGAATGACAGACCAAGGTCTAGGAGAAGTTCGTTGTCGTCGCCATCGCCATCACTGTCTGTGTTGTGTGTTTAGTATTGGGTTCCCAGCAAGGAGGCCAAAGTATCCACAAACCAATATGGAGCTCACCGTATAGGCAAGTCCGGATGAAAAAAAACGCCGCCGTCTCAAGATATTTGCGGTCGTTATTCTACTCAACTCCTCATCCTAAGGCTGGGGTTGAAGTCTCATCGCCATCATGTATGGGTGCCATGATCCGGGACACGAAACAATCATGGCGTTGAAGGGCAGTGTGGCAATGCGTGTGATATTCAGAGAGGCTGAGAGAAATGAAGCTATTCCCAGCTTTAATTATGCATATATTGAGGTGGTGATGCAGTATACCCTGGTGTAACAGTCCGTTGTATGACAGATCCTGCCCGATGTTTGAGAATGCCCTGAGAAAGACATTGTCTCTCCGTGTGGAAAGAAAAGTACAAGGGAAGCTTGCAGCTGGTGCCCGCTGGAGCGTTCCCGACTTTGGGCTGGACTAGTCTAGCCGCGAGTGTCCTAGCACCCGTTCTCCGCAAATTTAGCCTTAGGTTTGTCGCATTGGCCAGGTGGGGGCCGTCTTGCCCGAAAAGTGCAGGGGAGAATTCGGAAATGTGAGTGGACGCCATCTCCACTGACAATCCACTGTTTGGCCGGCCCCGGAGCCGACTACACCACTGAAGTTTCAAGCGAACGACCACCGGCCACAAGACGTCACTGCTCGGCTCCAAATCTTGCCTTTGATCCTTGAAACGGACCAGACAACAACAACCACCACCACCCATCCATCAAAAACTAGGTACTCCGCATACACCTCCATCACCGTCAGCACAACGGCCGACGATCAGTGTTTTTCTGGTGTTTTTTTCTTCTAACCCAACCAGCGAGCATCAGATTTTGGACGCTTGAGTGTGTTGATATACAGAATAAATACCCATTGTTTTACTTCCATTCCTCAGAAAATCCACGTTGGCGCTTGAGGTGGCCTTGCCTGTCGATATCTCCAGTTTGCCTGTCCCGTGCGACCATTCCTCCACTGGTGAATCAGCAAACACACATAAGACCCCCAGACCTGCCACAAAGCATCACCATACCAGCCCCCCAACATCATAACCATCCAACCAGTCGATCGCGACAACATACACAATGGAGACCACCACGGCATCAGAGAATACACCGCTACTCCCCTCCTCGACACCATCCTCTCCCGACGTCGCCCGCCCCGCGAGACCGCAACGAAATGTCACCTTCAACCCCAATCCCGTCACCAAGACCATTGAGCCCGAGGCATCCCACCGCCAGACCCGCGCCTCACATCCAAGCCTACCGCATCCGCCAATGTCCCCTTCAAGTTCCTCCGCCATTAGCACTGGTGGTCTAGGCGGCGGCCCTCCCATGTTATCGGCCCTGAACGGCAAGTTGCGACGACGGAATAGCGGCGGCGCTATTGGATTCAACCACAATTCTGGACTGCCCTACGCCTCTGCTGGCAACACTCACCTGCCCAAGATCGGCCCACAGCGTAGCACCAAGAATGCCCAGAAGCTCAAGCTACTACCCAACCCAGAACTGGAGGAGGATGGTGTCGACGAGGAAAGCGGTCGCGAAGTATACTCGCAGTACACACGTATCAAGGACCCCACCGCTCGCCGTGATGCTGCGCGTCTCGGCAAGGCGGACCGCGACAGACTGCCCAGAGTGACGGCATACTGCACAGCTAGTAGGTATCAGATGGACGGTCTCATGCGGTTCCTCAAGGGCAGATCCAAGAACCGTGGCGCAAACCCAAAGTTGATCGACGAGTGCATCTACACTCCCTATAGCTACAACCCCAAGCAGGCGGCTGAGAACAATAGAGTGGAGGCAGAAGCCCAAGAGCAACAGCAACTGGGACATTTTGACCCGATACACTCCCGCAGGCATTCCACCGGCGAGGTGCCTCAAGGTGACAGCGGTGGTTATCAAAGCACAGAGGACCTGATCAGCCTCAACCTCAATGGAGGCAGCACCTCTAGGGAAGGTGTTCAGGATATGGTGGCCCAAGGGGTCATCAGCGACGAGAACGCTGTGTCGGATGACCCGCTGGCTGATTTCGACATTCAAGTCCACACCCCCGAAGTCTTCCTCTTCGACTACGGTGTCGTGGTAATATGGGGCATGTCGGTTGCCCAAGAACAACGGTTCCTAAAGGAGATCGCAAAGTTCGAGTTGGAAAAGCTGGGACCTGATGATATGGAGACGGAGTACTTCAACTTTTACTACACGCACGAATACCAGGCCCGGATCTACAACGACTTCATCACCCTGCGAGACAAGAACAACTACATGACGAAGCTAGCCATTTCTCACGCCCTGGCTCAGAGTGTCAAGGTTGGTTCCATCTTACTCATCATGCGATAGAAGGCCATTGGCTAACCGTATCCTTCAGACATCCCTCTTTGAAGAGCTCATTGCCTCAACTATCGAGACATGCAAGGATATTCCCACACAGATTGCGTTGACGGGCAAGATTGATCTCAGTCGTCAACAGATCAATATGCAAATCGGAGAACTCTTCATTCTCCGCGTCAACATTCACCTCAACGGTTCCGTCCTCGATACACCGGAGCTGTTCTGGGTCGAGCCGCAGCTTGAGCCTCTGTACAAGGCCGTGCGCAGCTATCTCGAAATGGACCAGCGAGTCAAGTTGCTGACAGAACGTATGGATGTCATTGCCGATCTGTTGGCTGTTCTCAAGGATCAGCTAACTCACGGTCACGGAGAGAAACTAGAGTGGATTGGTGAGTCTCATTCCATGCCTAAGCCCTCAGCGACATGGGTCATACTAACTACTTCGCAGTGATTGTTCTTATTGCTGCCGAGATTCTTGTTGCGGCCGTAAACATCGTTGTCGATTTGTATGCGGGTGTTGACTAGAAGAAGACAACAACTCGGGAGATGGCGTCAGCGCAAGGGGCGTTTCTTCATTACTCGCTTCTTTTTCTTTTTGTTATCTTCTGCATGGAAAGGGTCATTTTTTTGAGCACTGGACTCGGAGTTCTGGGTCTGAACGCAATGAGTTGTGACGGTGTTTTTGTCTGGCTGGATTCTTTGGTGGACAGCATTTAGAAGGGATGGATGGCGCTTCGTAGGTCGCGACGGTCAACAAGGAAGGCAGAAGGCATTGGTATTCTAGAGAGAAAGGTTTCAAAGAGCGCCAACCATATTCCCGATTTTGGCTTGACTATCAGTGATAGACCATATACCCGTAAGGCTTCATTTCATTATCTCTTGCCAACATGCTACCCGTTACCGTATCTTTCTCTGGTCTTGTGACAACCCCCACCTACGCTTCATCCCGTCTGATCATCTGATATTCTGGCAAATTACGGCCATGGAGCCGTTCATGTTTTGGTCGGGGGCACCAAGCAGGCAGAACTGGGCAGGTGCCCGTCGGTGACGTCCGCAAACGAGGAAGGAACTGCAGCACATGAAGGCGGCAGGCACAGCTTACATCTTCCAGCTTCCAGCTCGCGAGGAAGGTACGCTGAGAGGGCTTGCGTCTTATGAGAGGTAAGGTTTTTTAACGGAAGGCACGTCTACCACGTTGCCCAGCAGCGAGGAAAGTTACATTATTTTCACGGGAGTTTCATCACCTTTTCACCCCACCTCTGGGTTTGAATATTGTCCTTCCAGCCTCATCCTCTTCCCAGAGTCTTCCCCGTCCCCACGACATCGACTTGTATCAGGCCCGGCACTCACATTGACGAGTACTCGGATCGCGACCCAGTCCTCTCTCACAATGGAAATCGACAACGTCAACTTCTGGGGCCACCTGCCCACCATCCTCGACGCGATTGCTGATGCCGAGTTCATCTCGCTCTCGCTGATCGGCATTCCCGATCCCATTGCCAAAAGAAACCGGTCCAAGGAGGAGCTCTACCGCGAGCTGGTAGAGCACTCCAAGACTTACCACGTCTCCAAGATTGGCCTCACTTGTTTCCAGTACGAGGAGAACAAAAAGGGTACATGCGATGGCCATCCATCACTTGACTGTCTCAAGGACGTGGCTGACACGGCGAATCGCAGAATACTCTGCTCGTAGCTTCAACTTCGCCATCACCCCTTGGTTTCGTTCCGAGAACTTCCAGGCGGAACTGATCGCAAAGACCGTCAGTCGAACATACTCCTTCAGCCACGACATTCTGAAACAGTTGAGGACACACGGCTGGGATCACAACGAAGCTTGGGAGCGTGGTGTCCCTTACTTGACCCGCTACGAAGCGCAAACAGTCGAGGAACGTTTCCTCCAGCCCTGGGAGTCCAAGACGCCGTTGAACGTCAACAAACTAGATGTCGAGTCCAAGAAATTCCGGAATTGGGCATATGACCAGATTACATCTTGGTTGAAAACAGAGGTATGGGGACACCTGGTGCTCTTCCATCTTCATCATCTTTGTTGGCTCATTAAGCTCACACACGCGCCTTCCTCTACTATACAGGACAAAACCCTTGACTTAGCGACCCCCTCAGGCAAACGGTTCACCAGCCTTCAAGTTGGGCTCGTTTGCCAACTCGTCCATTCCCGCTTTGATGAGTGTCGCGCCACGCCCAAGGATGACCATCGCGTCATGCACATCAAGAAGCTCGGTCGCCCAGAGCTCACCAAGGAGGTCAGTGGGATAAAATTCACTAGTCTAGGACTGTTCACTGATATATTGTCACAGAGATTGGCGAGCCGCCGTACTGCATTGACGCGACAGTCAGGTATGTCACACCGACAGCTTATCCCAAGAGCCGGACCCTCCTGACTCCACTAACGCTTGCTTTTATAGGCTTTCTCTACGTGGTAGAGGCCCTCCTCGGGGGACAATTTGCCGACGATATCGAGCCCGAGCTGTGCTTGCTATACGTATCGGGTATGGCTCACGACTTGCGCGAACAACTCATCTCGAAATTCCGTAAACGACTCAAAGCAGCTGAAGACAGGAACAGAGCCAAACGACCAATCCTGCTAGTACACTCTCAGCTCGACATGCTGTGTCACTTTTACTCGACATTTCTGGGCCCACTCCCAAAGACACTCGACGAATTCACCAAGAGGATTCATCAAATCTACCCTCGAATCGTGGACACTAGAGTTTTGTATTCCCCGGACACCTTCCTACCTCTTAACCGCGACCATTTGACCGAGCTGTTCTCTGCCGCAAAGGAGGAGGGAGGACCTCATGTGACACAGGTACAGGGACTGAAATACAAGGACAAGATGGATGAAGAACATGGTCCTTACGGCTGGTATTCCAACCTCGCGTTCCTCAAGGTCGCAGCAAAGAAGTTGCAGAAAGAGCCCTGGCTTTGCAGAACCAGGCCCCAGAAGACGCACGGGACCATGAGAATGAAGGCGAAGAAACCAAGCAAGCTCTTCTTCACCCTCAACCCCTTTGTACCCGACAGCATCGTCAGTCGTCGTTCAAGCATCTGTTCTTCCATTGCTTCTGGCATGACCATGACCGGAAGCATGGTTGACACCCCGCCCAGTGTCATTGGCGATGGCAGTGACGAGGAGGAGGAGGAAGAGAAGCAGGAGGCACCCGAGATCGATCGTCTTCCGCCGTGGGAGGCGGTTTTCTGGGAGAAGTTTGGAAACAAACTGATCCTCGACGACGGCGAAGTCTTGCCACTCGCTGCTTCGATTCCGCCCAGAAAGACCAGGGTTCTTCGGAATTTGTAGGACGATTATCGGGATCTCTAGGAGGAGCTCCTTTTTGTCTGGGCTGTCATCCCGGTTTGTGTATTGCTGACATTATTCTTCTGGTGGGAACTGGTTTGATGCTCGATTTGTGTGTGTTTAGTAATGTCACTTAGGTAATGTGTTGGGCAAGTTTGAGGACTGTAGGAGTACGCGTGCGAGATGTTCCCGCTAGAGGAGCAAGCCAATGGCCTCACATGGATGTATGATCGAGGAGGTGCCAGAGGCAGCGCAGGGAGACGCCTGAAGATTCCCGTACAGGTCGTTATGAGGATTTCTAGCCAGCTTGAAAATACCGGTGCTCGCTCTGCCGGGCCGGCTCAAGCTCTGAGTCTCAAGCCGGAAGCACCGGTGTTTGTTGAAGATCAAGGCTGGATGGATCCTGAAGAGATCACTGCCATTACCCACAGTGGTCTATACTGCAGGATTGGTTTACGGATATGTAAGTCGGCTCAAGTAATTTTGTTCTGTTTGTGTACGTTAGTGTTAGATTTCACCTCAAATAGCGGAATGACCACACCAGCGGATGTCTTATATGTAGTTTTCACGAGCCATCTCACGACATCCGTGGACAAGGCCAAATGTGACATGACAATTGTAACCAGCCCAAATCTCTATACATAGCATATGTTTCTATATTACAAACATAGGAACGAGGGGCTCATCCAGCATCCCCTTCTCGTCTCCGTGCCTGATGCCAGCCATCACCGCTTCTACAGAAATGGTGGCATGCGAACTTGGCTTGGCCTTGTCAAATACGCCGAGGAACGGGTGCTCGCAAGACCTATCAACTCAACTCCAAATACTCTCTCATTCTTTCTCGAGACTTTGAGATCGTGTTTGACTAGGGGGTCCAGGGTCCAGATCCACTCAGCGCATAAACAACACTTGTATATTGCCACCGAAAACCCAAAACCATCTTTTGATATCAATACATTTGTACACATGCTCTTCGAGCCTCCTCCCAGATGGGTACATAGTCCATCCACCAGGTCTACCCTATCCATCTCTCCCCAACCTTGCGGCGGCCTTACTCACTTCAATAGCCTAGCCTATAAGAAGAGGTGTTTCTGTTCCGTTCACCTCTCAGCAAACATGCCCTTGACACTCTGGAAGTAATCCTCGGCCAACGTGCTGCGCAGCTCCTCCTGGGTCAGCCACTTGAAGTCAACCAGGTCGTGCAGGTTGTCCTTGAGGTCGGCCTGGCCGGCCATGATGCGGCCCTTGAGGAAGAAGATCTTCTCGCCCTTCTTGAGCAGGGCGCCGTCCTTCTGGCCGAAGACGGGGCGGGCGACGTGGTGCGCGACGGGCACGCGGCCGACGATCCAAGTGTTCATGTTGACGCCTGCGGACTCGGCTAGAATGCGGGCTGCGGTCTGTTGTTTTTAGGGAGAACATATAGTTAGCATGTGTATACAAAAAGGTTTGGTTAGAAAAGGAAGAGTAACAAACCTCATGCAAACCCTCATCCGTGGGAACCACGCCCGTAGGAAACACCCACTTGGCCTCCTCCCCTTCCTTCTCCGCCTTCTTCTTGACCACCAAATAGAGCGTCCGATCCAGCGCGCGATCCAGCCTCTTGACATCATTCTTCTCGTCCGCCTCCGTCCGTCTCGGCATCGGCTTCTCCACAGGCACGCGGTCCTCGGCGGGGATCTCCTCGCCGTCCTCCGACACCCGCATCTCCGCATCGGCCAGCAGCTTCTCCACCATCTGCGCCCGCGACGAGGTCTGCGAGGCCACCAGCAGCTCGTCGTTCCACGCCATGCGGCCGCGCGGGTTGTACCGGCCAATGTCCTTGGCGGGAACGCCGTGGCGCTCGTTCAGCTTGATGCGCCAGTCCAGGTCGGCCGCCGTGTCCTTCTTGAAGTAAAAGTCCTTGCGGAAGGGGGCGGTCAGCCGCTCGTTGAGCCGCTTCTGGTAGAAGTAGAAGGATTCTTCAAAGGGCGTCAGCTCGCGGGTGAGCAGGGGAGGGCGAGTGAGGATCACGCCGGACTTGATGCGGTAGACTTGCGACGAGGTCGAGGTGGCGGCGTGGGTGCCTGTTGATGTGGTGAAGGGGGGGTTGACGGGAGGAGGAGTAGGAGGAGGAGGTGTTGTCGTTGTCGTCGTCGGGGATGGTGTGGCCTCGGCGGAATAGAAACGTCTAGGAGCGGCGGCGGCGACGTTGCTGAAGACGGCAGCGGGCGCAAGTCGGGACTGGGTGCGGCATTGTAGGCAGATGGAACGTTGTTGGCCTGGTGGGAGAGAAGAAAAGTTGCGACGGGTTAGTTTGGCGTGGTCTTCTTGTAGTTTGCGATCGGAATGGGAGTTATGCATGAGAAACACCAATTCGCAACGATTTGGTGATATAAAGGGTAAAGGAAAAAAAGTATACATACTCCTAAGGAGAGCAGCTCCCCTACTCGACGCCGACATGATGGGCAGTATGTATTAACTTGGTGGTTGGACGGGGCCCGGGGATGTAAACAACGGACACGGGACGGGGGAGGGAGGGAGGAGGAGAACGGAGCTACGGGTTGATCTTGCGCGCGCGCCACAGTCCTCAGCTCAACTCTCTCTCGCAAGTCTCGGGAGTGGATTCGGGGACGGGGTCGGTCGGTTCGGTCGCTGCGGCGGCGGGCAGGCAGGCAGAGCAGACGGGCGATACACTACACAGCGCGGGAAACCGGCCGTGAACTTTTTCGAGGTCCGCAGCCCCACTTTTTCCCTGGGGGCCGCCTGCCGGGCACCGGTCCCTGCTCGTTCCTGGTCGTGGTCCCGTACCGCGCGATTGAACAATTGAATCTTGGCAACTGATTTGCTCTCTTCACCGCCTTCCCTTTTCGAAGCTCTCTCCAAACTCCCCGCACCTTAGGGACACCCCACCTCAACTTCCCCTGCTCCACCTGACCACTCACCTGACCAAAGCGGATTCCCTTACCCAAAAAATGGGACCCCCAAATGAATAAAACGAGTGCGCCCTCCTCGGTCTTTTCCTTCCTCTTTTTTTTCTCTTTTTCTCCTCAGGCACCATTCCTTATCATCACGACGTTTCTCTTCCTCCAAAACTGTCCTGATCATTTAGTCGTGCCGAGAGGAACCACCATGAGCAGACCAATTCGCTAGCGGTACCTTCAAAAAATGCTCCAAGGGTTGCTGTTAGATAGAATCTGCTTACATACCATGCATGCTATGGTACTTTTGTGATATCCTTTGTGTGTGAATGTTTGGATCATTTATTGCATCTTGGGGACGCGCGACGAGCTACGATTTTCGGATCGGCTGGTTGTTGAAGTGTTATTTCGCTTCATTCGTGTTTGGCCTGCACTTGTTATCGTGTCCCGCATGTCGTCTGACGTACTGTCAATATGTTTTCGTGGTGTCGTTAGGATCCTTCAGGACTTCGAGGACTTGTTTTCCATTCCCGACTGGTCGTCATTGAATGAGTGATTCAAGTCACTGTCACGATCAAGGACGGCCACATGGACACCCCCATACGATAACACCATGTCCTGCTGAAGACCTCAGCTACGCCGCCCAATACGCATACTGCCAAACTTGCAAGAATCATTATTCCAATGACTCACGTTGCAGATCGCGATGCACATGCATGCTCCATTTCATATTCTGAGGCCGTTCTGACAGATTACATTACACATTCCAAGTTGCACCACAACTCAAACATACCCAAAGAAACCAAAAGGGGCCTCAGTACTGAAATAGTCATGTCTGTTCATTGCGAAGATCCTAATGTATAAAAAGCTACCGCGCGCCAGTTTGCCCGCCAGGATATTTACCCAGATTCCCCCCAGCCAGCCGGTCCTAATACCATACACCATCTAACATATACATCACATCTGTGATCAGAAAGTTGCTTCTCCTCTCTTATCATTGAATACCGAAAATCCATAAAGCGCTCAGTACAGCATCGTCAACCTAGTTGCTGACGCCTGATGCAAAGTTTCAGTTCCAGCCATCACTCGAACGCTGGACGCTGGAAGACTGACGTTTTTTCTGCCCTGGCAGCTTTGCTTTCTGTTTTCATGCCTTGGCCGTGCCTGTTATCAGACCTACAGAGTCACGGGGCGCTCGATACCAAATCGCCTTACCAGTCGAGACCCACAGGCGTCACCATCATCGAGCACGCTGTTGGTCAGGCCCAAATGACCAAAATCCGAACTCACGCCTTCAAGTGTTCAACCGCCCTGGTGACCTCCTTAGCCGCAATCTTCTCCCAGCTCTGTTTCAGCTCGTCACCTAGATCCATTGCAGGATCTTTGACTTCCTCATAAAGCTTCCTCGACACATCCCGGTTGATAGCCTCGTACTGCTCCGCATTTATTTTTTGCGAATGCCAATGAGGCCTCAATGCTCCACGAACAATACTGTTGATGCTCTGCTTCACATCGAGAGGCAGAGCAGGTCGTGATGGCGATGTCTCGGGAGACCTGTGTGGCGCATTGGGATGAGGTCGTCGCGCTAGCGATGCCTGGACAGGAATCGGCCCCGACGACGATGGTCCTCTGGCAGCCACTGAGCCAGTCTGCTGGCGAGAACGACCACGCGGCTGTTCCGTGTCACTGTTCTCAGGCGAGGTTCGACTCCTAGGTCTGTTGTTGGGCGAGGACGATCGGGAAGTCTTGGTTGTGGGTGATGTCGACCGATTGAGCGAGAAGTTTGCCGGAGCATAGACAGGGGCCAGATAGGAGCTGAGGCCCGGAGAACTCGGCCGACTCATGACCATCGGCGGTGTTGTCGCCCGAGGACTGACATAGGTAGGAACTGGTGACCCTGTATCGATACTTCCTGGAACAGGAAGTTCAGGAACATCTCGGAACCCATCCTCGTCAGTAGGCGTGCTCATCTCCACTTCCTTGAGCAAAGACGATAAGAAAGATGGAGCTGCTTCGGTGGATGCTTCGGTGGATGCTGATGGTCCGGCGGTGGTGGATGAGCTGGGCTGGTTCGCCGCTGAGGTAGATGGTTCGCCGTTCTGGGTGGTGTGTAGTCTCCGCGTTCGAGGCCTCTTCAGCTTTCTCTCCGGCTCATGGTTTGATGCGTCCACTTCACCACTGATGGAACGTGACTTGCGCTTGCGACTCGTAGAGCTCTCCTGGTTACCTCTGGCCATCTCAAAAGCACCCCATGCCCGTTCTTCTTCCCGTGTCTGTTGAGGCGAAGGTTCGCGCGGGACGTACCGGCTTTGGAACACACTAGGCATGTTGGTGGTAAAGACGTCTCGAGCCCCCAGTCTAGTGGCAATCATCAGACGCTGCTGCCACCTCTCATGCTCCAACCTTTCCTGCTCCCTAAGCCGCTGCGACCGGCGGTAATTCTCCAGGTCTTCGAGTGTTCCATCGTCGTCGCCGTCATCCTGATAGTCGAGATCCAAGCTCAGGGCATCCCAAACTCTGCCGGCAATCCTACCCCAAGCACCTTGCCATTCGTCAGATCGAGCCCTTATCCTGGCCCGGCGCATGCTACCTTGGGTTCGTGGGAAATAGTAGTTGCCGCGCTCGCGCTGGGCGTTCTGAGAGCTACGACGGGTCCTCGGAGCTGGCGCAAAGTCCTCGGGCATCCCATCTTGGGCGTTGATATCCTCACCTAGCACGTCCGCACATTCCATGCAGAACCAGTGACTAGGCGGAACTCTCTCCAGACCAATGCAGTATGTATGATATGGCACATCGCAGCCATCGCACAGCAACAAAACCTCCTCGTTGTCTGAACGGTTGCAGATGGGGCACGGCAGGCTAACATCCTCTTCGGGCTCGGGGTTCTCGTCAAGCCATTGTTGGGGGTCGAACTCGGCTACCTGCTTCTTATCTTCGACATGGTAGGAACTCAGGAGGTTGCCTGGCCACAGAACTGGTTAGCAATGCTGTTCCTTTCCGTATGCACAAATATTTTGTGGGAACCATGAACTCACCTCCTATCTTGTCGTACACATGCACCAGGTGGAATGTCTGGCGGCAAATGGGACAGCTATTGGCCTTGTCGGTCCATAGTCGTAGGCAGGAATCGTGCAGCGCGTGGCCACAAACTTGGATCTCGGCTACATGATCGTGCTTGTTGTCGTGTTTCAGCCTGATACCTGTGATGCTGGCGGCGGCTGTGCTAACGGGGGTGTTGTTGCTGTCGGCATCGTCCTTGGGTGTGGTAACAAGTGCGTCTACCTCGATCGATGCGGCGGGCGCTCCGGGCTCACTTGAATCCCCTGTAGCAGGGCCGGCAGGAGCGCTGACGGAGGACGTGGACGGGTGTGGGTCTGGGGCTTGTTGGACGTCTAGAGTCTCTAGACAGACAATGCACTGATCAGCCATCACGACTGGGATGGTGGCGCGATGCTGAGAAATGCAGACTCTGGGGAAAAGACGGGTAATGAAGTCATGCAACTGAAAGATAAAAATAATGAGAATGTGTGTGCAGGGCGCGATTGGCAACGTCTAAAGAAGTTACCTGACCAAGCACTCCAAGCAAGCGACGATGGGCCTCCCCTGTCCGAAATGAGATAACGTAGTTAGGTCACTTCAGGGCTAACAAAGAGGCAGGTGTTGAATGTTGCTGTGGTTGGCGGTGCTGGTGGTGGTGGTGGTGGTAATGGTGCCGTGGCGTGTATAAGTGATTTGCAGTAGCGGGTGTGTGGGTTTGGGTTTGTGCAGTGAGGTGGGTAGTTTGTCGCTGTAGGAGAAGCAGACGGTGTGGGATGGAAGGGAAAGGTGAGGTGAGTTGCGGGAGGGAAAGACGGCCAAAGTGCAAAAGATGGAGATAGGTCACAGGTCGGATCCGTTTTGTGAATGGTGACGGGATGGCAGGAAGAGGAAAGCAACCTGAAGCTAGAAAGTGGAATTTCAAGGTTGCTGTGAACGGGCCACTCACGAACAAGCGGGAGAGAAAGTGGAAGCTGCCAACAACAACAAGGGACCTGGAACCTGAAAAGCTTCAACGGATGAAAGTGCGTGAACCTGAAGAGGATGAGACTTGAGAAGCTGAAGTGGGTTGTAGGTAAGGTAGGTAGACGAGAGATTGGGAATGGTCCTTTTCAGGGAAGGTCTTGATCTGCACGGGCGTTGTTTGTTTGGAGGGTTCGAGCGTTGGACTTTTTGGAGAAACAACGAGAGAGCACTGCTTGCGCGCTTGTTGGAGAAAGAAGAGGAGGAAGAATGATGCCTGCCTGCCTGCCAAAAGATTCCAGATCTGGAGACGGCCTTTTTTCGCCTTCAAAGCCCCGTGTTAACGCAACCGAGACATGGACCAATCCCACGCGAGGCCCCGCCCAACGTGAGGTAAGTACACTACACCGGCCAGGGACAGGGTCGGAGGTCATGAATAGAGCTCCTACCTACCTACCCTCCTACCGTACAACTCGTACCTAATTGATAAAGTACATCCTGCGTGCAGATGTGTGTGTTCCGCCTACCTACATACCTGCTAGAAAACCACACCCGAACAAGATGGACCAGCTGACTTACGGTCAATTTGATGTACTTATATCATGGTTGCCAAAACCTTGAATTCCCCAAGCCTCGAACGCCAAGCCAAGCATGGAGAGAACGGGGAGCGCCCTGGTCCGTTCGGGCGCCTCAGACAGAGAGGCAGGGCAAGTAAATTGGTTTCTAGGTGGTTGAGGAAGGGACACACACCCGACCCGCGGGATGAAAAGGGCGGGAAGGTACCTTAGGTACCTACTGCGGTACTGCCTGCCTGCCCAAAACCGGAGGTCTGGATTGGGATAATGGAGGGTTGTCTCAAAGAAGATGATGCCAGGTACCTCTACGGTTAGTTCAGCCGTGAGAGACCGCCAAGCAATCAAGAATTCAAGATCGTTTGATAGGCTGCTGCTGTTGTTGCGGGTTGATGGTGATGACTGAGGACCACTTGTTTACAACTTCAGATTTCTCTTCATGATCAACTGTTGGGATGACCATAGGCAGCAGTGATATACAAAGGGTGTCTTCGGCCACGATTACCGGGCAATGTATCACCGAATTTCGCGATGCCGCTTTCTGGCACCTCTGTCGTTGTTGGGGATAGATATTGTCCCTTTCGTCGCATCAGTCAGCGGCCATGATACATACCAAGTACATAGCCCTGTTCGAGGTTTTCCTGATTTCCATTATATTCTGTTTGAGGGCGGATTTGCCTCGTAGGGGAACATGTCGCCTTCAGTCCACCGACTAAGTGCCACCAGACATTAGATTTACGAGTGCAATGATCCTACCGACCGGGAGTTCATTCACGGGGACAGTCCTCGGGACCTCGTTCATTGACAGGGGTAGGTAGGTAGAGTGGATCACAAGTCGACTGCCGCCGATGATAGAGAATCCTTATCTGTAATCATGTTCACGGTCATGTTGATACCAGGATGCGCTTCAGCCCATGAGTTGCGAGCATGGCCATGGGATGTGACTACGGAATCCAGGAGTCAAGGACTTGAGAGATGTTACACAATATCCGGTCGGGTATGCACTGCAGCGTGGTTTATAAGTCGGGACCGCGATGCTTGTGGTCGTCATGCCTAGGTTGTAGCACAAATCGCATCTGACCGGTCCTCTTCCCACTCACGCTCACACTTCACGTACCCCATCTAATGCCGTCATCATCTATCCGGAACGGAGGACTTGTTGGTTATGAACGTCGCGTCCGCGTGCCCCGTCCACTCCTTGAGAGGCGGCCGTCAGGCAACTTCAGAGTTCCTCGAATTCGCTTTACGCTGGTCTTCGAATCCAGGAACCCGCAAACCGGGAGCAAGAGTTTCTCGACCCGATATCGCGGGCATCTGGTCACGGAATACGCAAAGAGTCGTAGGGATTGGCCAACAGGAAAAGGGTATCATGGTCATTTGTCTACCGTAAAATCAAACCTGGCGATCTTTGAGACATCTTCCCAAGCCATGCTTCATGTGAGGAAAGAGACGCCGGTAAAACTCCCTGTCTAGATCGCCCCGTATCCAGACCACGCAACAGTCATGTCGTAAATGGGTAGCAGCAAAGTCGTTATTGAAGGAAATCTGGTTCATCCCATAGTAAATCCGCAGATCCCCATTGTCCTTTTCCATGACACCACCTAACCCGAAAGACCAAAAATGCCAGCTTTTAAACGACCACCTTAAACCTCAGTGATCTCACGGAGACGGCGGAGGGTGGAGCGCATGGCAGCGGCAGCGGGGGTGCTAGAGATAGCGTGTTAGAAGAGTATCCGTCGAAGGGCCGTACTTTGCTGGTGAGAACTTACGAGACGGTGTAAGCGCCACCAGCCATGGTCTTCTTGCAGGCCTTGCAAGACCAGATGCCGACGGAGGAGCGACGGACAGTGTTCTTGCCGCAGAAGGTGCAAGTGTAGCGGGCGTGCTGGGACACTTCCTGCTCTGTGGGGTTGTTAGTAACCTGATGAGCGACGCGGCGTGGGAGTGTTTGTTGGGTACTGACTCTTGACCAGCTTACGGAGCGAAGCACCGTATCTGTTGTGGTTATTGGTTAGTGACGCTGTTCCTTCGGTTCATTTCGGTTTGAGTGCGAGATGGACGAGATTCGTTATCGTGATTCCGGGTTGAGCTGGTCGAGACCGAGCAGGATATCCAAGGTCCAGGGAAAGGTGAAGCCCAGGTGATGACGTTCGCGATGGCGCATGATTTTGGAGGTTACAGAGGTCGACATTGACGCGGCTCGAGTGTCGCTCTCACAGATTGTTGTCTTTGGTTGCCGAGTCATGCCATATCCTCGTGTCGAATGCTCCCTCATTTTCCATCCTCAACACACGTCCGCCGCGGCTAAGGCTCAAAGAAGCTCGTCATTCCAAGTCATCCAGTTCTTGCTTTTGCTCTCGGTCGTATTGTCGCCGTTGGTGTTGTCGTCGTCGTTGAATGGCCGGAACAAATCTCGCCCATCAAGGGAGTGTGAACTCGAAGGAAACCGTCGCCGTTACATACCTAGTACCGTACTAATTCACAAACAAAAATTAGCCATCTCGCCGCAACGCATTCTTTCTGGAGATGGGGAGTTACATACCTTGCCGGAGATGCCGACCTTCTTAGTGCGCTTGGACATTTTGGCTGGTTGAGGTGGTCGTTGTCTGGAAAACTACCGTCCTTGCTGGCGATGTGCGAATTTGACAAAAGGCCAGGGCTTTTTTTCTCTTGTGTGGTGTGCGAGCGCTGCGACGGCCGGTCCCACCCCAGGAACATTTTCGGACCCTAGGCGGAACCATTTTGCCGACTCTGTGCCAGTGTGTGCCTGACCAGAGTCTTGGCATTGGCGGGGCTTTTTGCCCACACTGGCAGCTGACCCCGCTGTCAGGGCCCGGTTTGACAGCTGGCCCGCACCTCGTCGCTTGTGTGACATCAGCCAACAACATCCATCTCGGCCACCCAGCAATCGTTGCTTCTCCCGTCTCCCGTCTCCCGTCATCGTCTTTTGGAGTTCCTGTCGTGCTCTCAAATAAGCTCTACAAACACCACCACCGTACTTGCAATCTCTTCTCCGCCTCTGACAACATGAAAGATCTCGTTCGACATTCTTGTCCTCACTCATTGTCCAGCTACGACATCTACTCCGCATAGGTATGCTGGTGGACTACAGACAAGTCTCGATGTGGGTTTGCGCTCACAGCGTGCAGCGCCCTAGAGGTACCTAGCTTCCCCCAGGCCCCAAGTGGAAGTTCACAGTGTACCGCAATGGCCCTCAAGGTTCGCACTGTTTACTCCGTGACAACTTGGTGAACTTTACAGTGTTCGAGCGCTGTCAACAGACTATGGTTCGTTCACTCCCGTAACCCTAACCAATGATATACCACCGCATTTCTTCAATGAGCGGAATGAATCCGACATGCGGAGAAGTCTCCGGGTCGTTTGAAGTGCTTGATCAGGGAGAGACCGGATAGTATTGTATCGACGATCGCGGGCGCACTCCAGATCTGGTCCGTGTTCCGGCGGGAGGCATTGCGGGCTGCGAAGAGCTGTCAATGGCAACGGTCCCGTCCCGCACCTAAGGCTCCTTCAACAACTTCTAAAACGGCGATGCTTGCCTATTTCGGTTGACATCCAGAGTAAACAACGGAACTGCTGTCATATCTCGGCTGAAACAAGTATAAGCGGTTGCCATGGTGGCATACTGGCGCCTTGACATGCTTCGGTGGAAGCCAAACAAAAGAGAGACGGAGATGTGTTTGGAAAAGGGTTGGTGTTCCGATGACGCCGGTGCGGTGCCTCCGTGGTTCCCCGTGCGCGGAAATCTCCATATAAATGATGCACCGTCTCAACTTGACCAAAGCCCAAGACCCTTCACCTCCGCTCTTTCCTCTTGGTATTATAAGAAGTGAAGGGTCGAGACATCAGGCTTGCATCTTTTCTTTTGTCCACCTTGACATTTTCAACCTCAACCTTTGTCGTGAAAAGACTCACCTGTCTCGAACACATCGACATAGTCTCACCTAACGTTGACACTCAAAAACAAAGAGGAAGACCACATCTTTCCAAGATGGCTTTGAAAAACCACGGCCGCGACTACGACATTGTCGTTTATGGAGCCTCAGGTAAGTACCCAGCCCAGCTTGTAACCTCAGACTCCATACCAAGCTAACAAACCACCAGGCTACACCGGTAAATACACAGCCCAACACATCACCACTCACCTGCCCACCACCCTCAAATGGGCCGTAGCCGGCCGCTCCCGCTCCAAGCTCGAAGCCGTCGTCTCCCGTCTCAAGGAACTCAACCCGGACCGCACCCCCCCCTCCATCGAAATCATCTCTTCCGCCACCGACCGCACCGCCCTCGAATCCCTCTGCCGCCGAACCTTCATCCTTCTCACCACCGTCGGACCCTACGGCTCCCTAGGCGAGCCCGCCTTCGCCGCCTGCGCCGCCGCCGGCACGCACTACTTTGACGTAACAGGCGAAGTCCCCTTCGTGCACCGCATGATCACCAAGTACTCTTCTCTCGCCGCCCAGTCCGGCGCAAAGATGTTTCCGCAGATCGGCATCGAATCCGCGCCCTCGGACCTGCTGACCTGGTCGCTCGCCCAAGAAATCAAGCGCGAGTTCGGGCCCGAGACGAAAACGGGCGAGGTAACGCTCAGCATCCACAACCTGCGCTCTGCGCCCTCGGGCGGCACCCTCGCAACAGTCTTCACCATCCTCGAGAACTTTTCTCTAAAGGAACTGCGCGAGGCGCATAAACCTTACGCCTTGAGTCCCGTCCCGCATCCCAACCCGGACCTGGCGGAATGCAGGACAACGTGGACTACCAAGTTCACCGGCCTGGCAACGACCCCCATCTTGGGACTGGGAACAAGTTCAGTAGCAGCCAAAACCGACGCTGCCATTGTGGAACGTACCTGGGGCTTGCTTTCCCAGCCCAAGAACAAGGGCAAAGAAGATGAGAGCTACGGACCCAACTTCAGCTTCAAGCAATATATGAAACCCCGCAACTGGCTGAACGGGATCGCTATCCATTTCGGACTGATGGTGCTGGGTCTGGTGATGGCTACGCCGTTTTTTGAGGGCTATTGCCAGAAAGTTTGTTTACCAACCCGGGGAGGGCGCGGACGAGGAGGTTGCAAAGAGGGACGAGCTGGAGTTTTGGGGGGTTGCGAAGCCGGATGTTGAACGAGATACGAAGAAGAGGGCGTTTGGAAGGTGTTGGTTTCGGGGACCGGTTTATTACTGTGAGTTTTCCTTGCCCCTCTTTGCTGAGTGGGTACTTGGGAAGGATGATATGCTGACTGATGTGTTTGATGAAAACAGATACCGGTGTCTTGCTGGCTGAGGCGGCTGCTACGTTGCTAGAGGAGGAAAGCGTAGAGGAACAGTTTGGTGGCGGTGGAATTTATACGCCTGCTTGCTTGGGTCAGCCGTTTATTGACAGGTTGGATAAGGCCGGGTTTCATTTTGAGACCAAAACCATGGAGGAGTAAGGAAGCGAGGCGGTATCGACACAACAGATCAGGGTCGTCGAGCTTGCCTGAAGGTTGTCACGAGGAAGGGCATGAGAACGAGATGCATTGATGTGGCGTTTAGCATGTACAATCTGGTTTGTTTTTCGGTACGTCTGGTCTACCTGTCTACCTACTTGACGAGATACCGTATCTTTTTACGACAGATTGTCCGAGGTCCCTCATCATCAAAGGCATTACATTACATGAATGGCTTTTTTATGGTTGAAAAGTAGTGGTGGGGAGGCATTGATAACAAATCAACATAATAGCATATCAAATTCCCAAACCAGCTCAAGGTAGGTATGCGAAATAAAATACATGTCTTTGGTTATAGGCACGAAAACACCGAAATGTAGGTATTAATTAGATATACACAACGACGTTTAGAGAAGTTGACCCGATGTCATGAGTCGAGCTAACACACAAACAAACCACCACCAGTTTTGAACTGTATGTGCTTCATGAATGAATGAGTCAGCTTTAGGTTGAACCTTTCGAAGATATTTATATCTCTGTGGAAATTCAATAAGCTTATACCGAGCTAAGCCGTAGTAGTTGTAGTAGTATGATAGTCGTATGAATCCCCCGGTTCGGCGAATCTATGATGTGTGGAAATAATGGTTAATATCCACGCTACAGAAAATTGAAATCTATCTTGTCTTGGTTGGACCCCCTTTTTTTACACGACTCAGAACTTACTTATTCCTAAATCACTGTAGTCACGGTCATGGTCGTGGTCATGGTATCTATCGATATACTTCAACCCAACAACACACAACACGCTGCCTACCTATGTAATCACTCCAACAACGTTGGCACCTCAGCTTTGCGCTATATGATCTTCCCGGTTCTCTTTGGTGGTATATCCTATTCCAACATCCAACATCCATCCTAGCCCTCTTCCGGCAGAAATAACCAGTCCACATCCAACGTCCAACATCCAAAACAGAATCTCATCACCTTACCTCACAGCCGCATCATCCTCCCCAACCACCTCCCTCCTCACCGTCCCTCTCCTCCTTCCCCTCCGTCCACAATACCCCTTCCCCCCCTTCCCCATCCAAACCCAAAACCTCCACCACTCCACCCGTTCCTCCATCCTCCTCGCCCGCTCATCAACCTCCTCTTCCCCGGTCCTCCCTACCACCAACCCCCTTCCATTCCAAACCTCCCCCTCCGGTCCCTCCGACCACTCGCCCCCTTCACCAAGCCTATAATCCCCCACAAAAAGCGCCACCACCACCAGCGGCACGCACCAAAACAGCGCACACTTGAGCAGCACCGTGACAGTCTCCTGGTACGCCCGCGCAATCGCCTCCCTCTCCACGCTTCCCCACGGATAGGAGCGGGCCACCACCACGCTAGCATATATCTTTTTCGCCTCCCCTTTCAGCGCGTCGGGGAGATATTCAACCAGCTTGCGCGGGATCAGACGACCCCAGATTACACCGCTGAACGCGGCTCCGACGGCAGCCCCGACTTCGACCAGCGTCAAAAAGGCCGCGGTGGCGACGCCGACGTGCGCGTGTTTGGTGCCGCACGAGGCTTGCACGGCTAGTTGTGTTGCCACGTGCATCAGCCCGGCCCCGGCGCCGAGGACGGCTTGCGCGGAGAAGAGAGAGGGGATGCTGACGCCCTTGGTGCGGGTCATGAGCAGGATGACGATGGCGAAGGTGTAGAGCAGGGCGCCGGCGATGATGAAGGGGCGCGGCCGGGGGGACTTGCTTTGGCGGATGGCGAGGGAGGCCAAGATGGCGGCGATGGTGGAGGCGAAGCTGAAGGTTTGGGTTATCTGGCCCGCGCGGTTGACGGGGAGGTTGAGGGCTACCAGGAGGTAGGAGTAGAAGTAGGGCATGACTGCGATGTAGAAGATCATGAAATAGAAGAACCCTAGGGTGCAGCCGGCGACGAAGGTGCGAGACTTCAAGAGGTCGAGGGGTAAAAGCGGGTGAGGAGCGAGGTTGGGGCGGGATTCCCAGAGAGGGAAAAGGATGAGGAGGAAGCTGCCGAGGATGATCATGGGCAGGAGCTTAGGGTCGCGCCAACCCTGGGGGGAACGGGAGATGAGGGTTAGGGGGATTAGGATCAGGGAAAGGCCGGCGCTGAAGAGGAGGGTGCCGATCATGTCGAGGTCGCGGAGGAGGATGTTGCGGATCTTGATCTTGGTGCTGCCATCGTCGTTGTTGCTATGATGGTGCTTGGGCTTGAGGATCCCTAGTTGTTCGGCTTTTCGGCGGTTGAGGTACAGACTCAAGGCCAAGGGGAGAAAGGCAACGGGCAGGATGAGCGCCCACATGCCGTAGCCCCATCGCCAGGTTGTCGTTGCCAGAATGGCTGACGCTATCAGCGGACCGATCCAAACCGTGACTAGAAAGGGGCTGTCCGGTAGACTGGAGAATAAAGCCCGGTTGAGAAAGGAGCTGGTGTCGGCAATGAATACCTGCTGAAGAATCTGCAATCCCGTTGAGCCAGCCGCGTAGAAGATCTGTGCAGAAGCGTAGGTTTCCACGTTCTTGGAGGCTGCCATGAGGATGTAGCCAAGTACGCAAAGGACGATGGAAATAGCAAAGGCCTCGAGACGACCAAAGACATCGGCTATCTTGGCCATAGGAGGTTTGATGACGGCTGGTAACTGTTAGTTTTTCTGTGACTTGCGATTTCCGGCCATCCTGCAGTTCTGAACTCACCATTGACAACATTTTGAACAACCGAAACAGTCGACAGCAGAGAGTGGTTGTTAAAAGAGCTAACAGCGAAAGCCGTCAGAGCATATGTGACCTGTCCCTCCAGTGACGTTGTGAAAGCGATGAGAAAGATGCTTTGAAGGAAGACATGTTAGCACTCTTTCTTCGTCCCAATTCCTTGGATAAACCACCTGGTTGGACGTAACAAACCTCATATAAGCCACGATCAAGGCTGACTTGGTCCACGCCCTCGAGACGGCCTCAATCTGCCTCACTCCCTCCTGAACATCGGATCCGGGCGTAGCGCAATCGCTCTCGTAAAGGGGGGTGGTAGCCGTGCCATAGTCTCCTCCGTCACTGCCGACTTCGAGACGGTCCGTCGAAGAGAAGTGGTCCTGTAAGAGGGGCGACCCTATCTCGTCGTCGTCGTCGGTCCTCATATTGCCCGCTGCTGCGCTAATTTTATGTTTGCCAGATGATGGTGTTCATGAATGCTGTTGTCTGTTGCTGATATAGATAACGGGCGGCGATGTCGTTTCGGGTTGTCTCTGAATGGGTAGTCTGAGGGAAATTTGCAGGTATAGTGAGCAGCTGAGCGTACTGTTATAAAATGCACCTCTTTCACTTTCACATGTGGCTTGGTTTAGAGATGTTTGTTGTGTACACCCTGTTTGATGACTGCGTAAAAGATGCTCTTGTAAGAATGTTCAGACGTAGAACCGGTAAGGATGTCGACGAAAGATGAAATCTCACAGAGCCATCTCCATCGAAAAAAAAGAGAAAAAAAAGGAAAAAAAAAAGTAGTAACCAGAAAAGGAAAGAGGTGAAGAGGTAAAGAAAAGAGAAAAGATGAGTAGGTAGTAAGTAGGCAACGATGATCCGAGGTGAGGTGAGACGAGACCCAGTTCGGTGGTATCAAGGTCTTTAGTGCGGTAGCGGTAACAGCGGCTCAGAAACAGCGTAAGATTGCGCACTCCAATGTATGGAGTCTTTTTCGCTGTGTGCTTTTTCTCGGCGTAAGGTAACGGAATAGGTAGTTGACCGGACCCCTTGTAAGTTTTTTTTAAGTTTTTTTTTGGGGGGAGGGTATCCACGAGGTCCAAAAAAGATAGGTAGTGCCGTTGTCTGCTGGTCGTCACATTTGGTCACCTTTTTCAGCCAACCCAAAACAGAGAACCCAAGCTGCCGCAGCCTGAGATATCTGTGGAGATCGGCTTTGGGTCGCCTCAACTGATCGATCCAGTGAGACGGGACGGGATACGTAGCTATGTAGTGTAGCAGAAAGCAGGTCGACCATAGGACAAGGCAAGGCAGCCAACCTGAGCGGGATAGATGACTGTTTCGGAATTCGGATTACATAGGACCACCACTGCGCCGCGCATCCCTATATAAAAGGTTATGGCGCTGCTGAATAGGAAGGGGTTGGATTGGTTCGGTTCCCTCAGTCCAGTTGTAGAGTCCGAAGGCTCGTTGCTGCCTTCTCTTTCTTGATGGATTTTGGGAGGTTCCAGTTGCCTCACTCCCGCTCCGCTTCAGAAGGGTTGTTGTTTCTCGTATTCTAGTGGCTGGCTGGCCGCGTTTGTCTCAGTTCCGACTTCCCCAAGATCATCAGTCCAGCAGTTATGGTAGTGTACATCCGTGCTTGACCACAAACAACAACAGGGCAGGCCCGATGGATGAAGCTCTGTGGGTCGTCCATCTGAAGAGAGAGGAGGGGAAACACCAAAGAGAAGAAGAGGGTGTACAAAGTGAAGATGCCCTTGGCAGCTCGTCAGATCCGAGGTAGGTACCTAGGCAAGGTAAGGTAGGTATCGTGGGTTTATCCAACAACCAGCCCCAGTTGGCTGTAGTTCCATGTTGTGCTTGACTTCCGTGTGACCTGCCTAACAAGGCGCATTCAGGGATTTGTTTTCAGCGAGTGCCAGTGATGACTGCAGCGAGAGTGCCAGTGTGAGCAGTGAGTGTGTGTGACCTGACGATTTCCCACTCTTTCCGGGGCAGTTGACGAGGGGTTCGTTCGTGGACGGAGTCTGACGACCGCTGACAAGGTTGGCACCCCACATGATACATCCTACACTGAATCTCGATTGGTCAAAGATTATCAAGCCATCTGATAAATTTGGGTCCTTTTCCCCCTCAAGGAAAACCCATCCAGCGCTTCCCGTTAGTGCATTGCTTGGCCGCTCTTGGCCGCCGCCGCCCCGAAAGCCCGAGCCCGTCCCCGTTGCATGACATAGTAGAACTACATCTCCGGCCGCTAACTACCTACAGGGCATATTGGTCTGTCCGGATCTCGGCGACGTCGGAAGCTGTTGATCAACGCCATCGACGGCCAACCGCTTCAACCGCCCGCTTCCATGCTTGGTGGAAGCAGCACGTTTCAAATGCCGTGATACACTGTGGTGTCACTACGATCGATATCAACATTATCGCTGCCGGCTAGCTGCTTTGCTTCCCGCTTCCCATGATTCGTGCTTGTGATCAACAAGAGAGTTCAGCTGCGAGTTGGTGTAATAACCGAAGACAGACACTGATGCGAGATGGATTGTAATGCGGAGCGCGATGGTGATGATTCAATATTTCATCCTAGGTCTTCAACTCCCTCCATCTGCTTTTCCCTTCCCTTCCTCCCATTATCCCCCCCATCCTCCACTCCCAAATTACCACGTACACCTCTGCCGGGGGAAAAAAAGGTTAAATCTCGTGAATTCGCCATTAGTGCGGATCGGTGACAAAAGGCAGCATTCTACAGAATAGCCCGTCTGGTCCGACGACGAACCCTGGTTTTCTGTAGGCTGGAGGTACAGAATTAACCTTTTTTTTTTTTCCCCGGCAGAGGTGTACATAAATCTCATTCATTTACACAGAAGAACCACCGCCAGTCCGCCACCATTCCTTCATATTCCGGGTCCATCTCTCAAGTAAGTACTGCAAATTCAACACCAGCCAGCCCAAAGATGCCGACAAAACAAAGCCAACCCCAAAACATATCCAAACCGCAAACCAAAAATGGCCACTACCAAGCTGACAAGATATTGTTATATATGATAAAGACGAAACATGATCAAGTGCACCAAAGTGCAACACACAACAAGTAAAAAGTGGTATCATCAAGCGCAAGGTCAAAGTACAAACCAGCCAACCATGTAACAGAAATAATAAAAGAAATGAAAAGTGCCACCAATTAACAGAGTAGTGTTCCGTTATCGGTTGGCAATGTTGGCGAGAAAAGAAGAGGAAAGCTGGCAGTCCATGAGCAGTCCACTATGCTTCCTCCATGATGCCGCCTTCCCCTCCTCCTTCCGCCGTCCACTCCTGGCTCTTCTCCGTGAGCTTCTTGATGCCGCTGACCCGGCCGGCCCAGAGACTTTCGATGGGCGTGCGGAACGTAAATGCCCGCTGAGAGCTGATCACGCCGATGGCCTGCAACACTGCCTTGCGGCTGTCGCGCCCAAAGATGGCAGGGTGGTTGATCCACTCGAGACTGGACTCGAGTTCCGCATCAAGAGCTGACACGGTAGTCGGGTCGATGGCCGATGCTCCCGTGTTCATGGCCCCAAGCGCATCGTTGGATCGCCGAGTCGAGATCGTTAGGCCGGTTCCGGGTGCCGACGAGTGATTAGCCATCGTAGGTGACGGCGTGTTCTTCCGGTCCGGAGTGCCGGGAATCGGCGAGTGGTCGTGGTGCGGGTGAGGCGTCGAGGGAAGCGACTTGGTAGGCGGTCCTCCTGGTGCTGGTGGCACTGGGGGCAACCCGCCCTTACCGAGGCCCTTAAGAATAGATCGTGTCTCGCTCAAAAGCGTATGGGCGCGGTCGTGCTGGCCTCTGCTGACCAAGGTTAATGCTCGAGTCAACATGTCCGACGTGAGAATTTCCATCCGCCGCTGTACGATGTATGGGTGAGGCGGTATCGCTGGCGAGGTCCACTGCTTCTTCGACCCTGCTGAGGCCGGCAGCATGGTGATTGCCAAAAGGGACGGTCTTGTGTGCTGCGTGACACCTTCGCGTAGAATATCCCCCCATGTAAGGTCGGCCTGTATCAAAGGAACCTCCTCCACCGACATGGCCCTTTGGTCCTCGTCGTCCATGGGTCCGCCTATTGCCTCCAGCCCCGACACGACGGTATCCCAGTAAGCGTGCGACTGTGGCTCCTCGGTCGACGTGTCTGGCATAATCGTCAGTTGTACAAGCACATCCCGCTTGTCGCCGAATCGAAGGTCGCCCAAGTTGGCCTCCGCATCGCGCCCAGTTGCCCGCTTCGTTATTTGGAGCGCGCCGCTAATCTTGCCCAGCTTGGCCGGCGACCCCTCCGGGAGTTTGAGCTTGAGCTTGACGTTTTGGTGGGACAAGCTCTGCATGGCACCGAGACAGCCTGCCAGACACTCTCGAAGCATCATCCAATCCTTGACATAAGTATATGATGCCTTGGTTCTCGTCGAGAGCTCAATCATGGTATCAGGCTTGTGCGTTGTTCCGAGTCCGAAAGAGTGAATGGTGATCCTAGTATTCAGTTAGTTTCATGTAACAAAGTTCCGAAAAAATGATCAAGACATACTTGGCAGCTTCCGCACGCGACACTACAAAGTCGACACTGTCCGCATCCGAAGTCGAGGCATCGCTGATCAGCATGATAGTGGCGATGGGGTTGTTATACTTGCGCCCCATGAGCAGATCCATAGCCACGTTCGCACCCTCAACCACATCCGCTCGATGGCTCTTCTGCCCCCACAGGCTTGACTGATGCCAAAACGTTACTCCAGCCAGGCCATGCCTTGGTGGTCATGCCCACAATTGGAACACCGCCGCCAGAGGAACCAAACGTGACGAGACCCATGCGGTCACGTTCGCCTAGGGAGCTGACCATGAAACGAAGGGCGTCGCGGACAAGGTTGATCTTCACACCTTGCATCGAGGCCGAAATCGGAACAACAACGACAACGTCGACAGGGACGTGGATCGACGGTAGCAGTCCTGGGCTTCGTACATTGGTATACTCGGTCGGGGCCGTGGTGGCAGACCTGGCTCCGCCCCAGGATGACGCCTGGGATGATACCCGCTGCTTCGAACCAGCGCTTCTGTTCCACTCGTCTTCCTCTGCCTCGGAAAACTCGCGGTCGTACTCAGGACTGCGCATTGGTGATGTCTCGACGGCATTCAGATCCAACAGGGCCTGTTGCCACAGCTTGAGCTGGTTGCGATTCTCGAAGCGAAGGTGGAACTGTGGTAGCTCGTTCACTGACAAGCTGAGCGTCAGGACATTCTCGTCGACAGATCCGGTTTCCGATACCTCGTTCAAGTGCTTCTTGATCAAGATCGATCCCTTCAGCGTGCATCGACCCGTTTTGCGCGCCGCTTCATCCTCCCACTGTCCTGGTGGTAGCTGCGGATTCTTCTTCTCCTTTACGCAAATGAGCATCTCGGCGAAGAGAAAGCATTCCA